GCGAATGGGACATACATCAAAATGCTGACATACCAGGCATTAACAGCTCATCTCTTCCACTAGACCAACCGGTAATAGCTCTACATACTGTCCAGTGTCACCTATTCCCAACATACACTACTACACCTTCAGGTTGTACGATCACATAAAAGCCTAAGTGCACCTCTCCCATCAACAAGATAGGCAGTCCAATGCCCCCTTTCGCATATACACACTGCTTTTCCTCCCAGCTGTAAACTCCCTGCACATAACAACCAATGTACATTCACACCCCCCAAACTATCAGAGTGATGTACTGTCCCCTTTCCCAAATACACAATGCTATACCACCAGGCTGTACGACTCACATGCACAAAGCTGACAACCTGTATACTACATCTATAAGTACATTAATATTTCAGTCTTTACCACTGTTCTCAGCCTTCTACCACTACTCTTTTAACTATTGTACTATGAAAGCTTTTCCTCCACCCAATATGTAGCTTTCAACCAAACTTTTTGATGTTGATGACAACACAACCATGCTTTCACTTTTGTGGGATACACCATAACTAGGCTTGGCGTCTAGTAATGTTCTTCCTCTACCAGTATAATATTACCAAAAATACAATCTATGACTAATAGGTTTGCTGAGGTGCAAATATAATAGTGCAAACGTGCAGCACATTCTAAAAAATGCTACCTGAAGCTGTGCAGATAGTCCACTTCCACTCATCGAATCCATCTTCGGCTTTATGGCAAACAAATTCTCCACCTCATCAAACTGGAACCTCCCAGCTTCAAGCTTGTAATCTAGATAACAAAACCATGTTGATTAATGTGCTGCCCATACTTCATGAAAGAAATAGAATTTTCAGTCTTAAAGAGCTCTCAAACAGTTTTAAAAACATTGCAAGAAAAAAAAATGCAATTACCAAGTTCATCAGATTGTTCAGTCTCTGTGTGATGATCTTCGGAGCTTGGCTGATCATCACAGGAGTCGTAGTCTGTTGAGGGGTGTCCCGTTTCTCTGACCTGAAGGAGAAGACAGTAATTCTATACTGTGACAAAACCTGTAGCACATTCTATGCCAGTCATATGGCGAGATCTCATTGTTTCTGTCTCTGATACAGACTGTGCTTAATGAGTTTAACACCTTCAAAGTGAATGGGAAAGGCTCTGGTGTAAGCGATGCTTGCCAGCTGCCCTGATGTATAGCCATAGACTATGGTACGCCTAGGACATTTCAATTTTATGTATGAAAAAAATACCATGAAAACAGAAGTACATATGTGCACCCTTCGCAAGTAGGGATTTTCATTTTCTAACCTGCATCAAATATGAATATTTGTAGTTACATAGTCAGCCACAAAATTATGGATTTAACGCTAGAACTGAACTATCCCCCACCTCCCCAGGATAGGCCTTACTGAAACTAGAGTTCCAATTAAAGGAGAAGCAAACTTCTGCTGCGCTGTAGTTTAAAAGAGCATGTTTTCTAAGTTACTATTGCATGGTTTTCCATATACACTTCAAAAATATATATATATATTTTTTTTTTCACAAAGGTCCAAAAATGTACACTTCTTAATCTGTCAGTTTTCCCCTTCTCAAAAGACATCCTATCAGACTGATACTCCTCCTCCTATCCTTTCGCTCTCATGTTCCCTCTACCTTTGGTTAAGCTTGTTTTCTCATGTATTTGAATGAGTATTTCAAGATTTTTTTTTCAACTGAAAAGATGTAAGCTCCCTTAATGTTCTACAGATACACAGATATACATATACTCTCGGGTGTCTGGAAGAAGGTCAGCCCCTAAATTGAATTGGACAAGCCAAAAAAAAAAAAACCACACCTGGGTCTATTATCCTATCACAGTTAATAACAGCAAGGCATACATATGGGAACTTTGATCATTACAAATATTGATTAATCTGTAATTTATTAAATAGAAAACCAGTCATGACAGAAATACTGGATGATCCCAGCCAGTATTAATGATTCCAACTCCATAGTAAGTTAAGCCAGAGAATCCGCAGAGAAAGCCATAAAACTATCATTTTTAGAAGGTCTATAGGATCTATTGGCATGCCGAGTATAGGAATGCCTCAATGTGGATACTGTTTTTTGGATTGGACAGGAAAAAAAAAAAAGTTGTTACAAGCAAAACCATGAAATACTTACAGGGCTGGTCCTCTGTGTATGGATGGAATGTTGCAAGGAGTAAACGCTGTCAGACAAAGAAGGGGTACTGGACCCTAGAAGATTATATTGCTCCAGTTGTTTAACACAACCAGATGACTTTGATTTCATAACTTCCAACTCAGCACTGTGATTAATGCTCAGTTCAGAGAAGGGAGTCAGTCCTCTCAAGCTGTGCACTTGTTCCTCCTGTTTCCTAACCATGTCAGGAGAGTCCCAAGCACTCAAGTCCGTCAGGCTTTCAGAGAAGCTTCTCTGCTTCACATCAGATCGCAATGACCCATTCGGTTTAGCTTGGTCCTCGGCAATCTGTTTTTGCAAGTCCACCGATATAACAGAGATCATGGCTTCTTGGCTTACTAAGGCTTCCTGAAGTTTTTTTACCTGAGTTCCTAGATTCAGGGAATGAGAGTGTACCTCTGCAACACAAGCTTCCTTCTTCTGTTAAAAGAATATGGAGAGAGCAAGAGTCAGGATTGCAAATTTACAGAAATGCCAGTAACCTGAAAATACTAACAATTGCTTTATATTAAAGCTAGACTCCAGGCAAACAGTTTAATATACACATAAAATGAGAGGGCTATCTGCCAAAGGGATTAAATATTTGTCTATCCATTTTTTTTTCTGAGATTTACAAAGCTTTGACAAACAGACTTGTCCCTATCCCTAGTTTGCGAAGAAGATGCAACAGAATGAAGCTCCTGACGCACTGTTCTTTCTTCTTATCAACTTGTGTATTGCTAGCAGATAAGCGCCGCAACACAATCAATTGGCGGCTTGTACCAATTTTCACTCTACCAGTCTGAGCCAAGTGGATTATTAGAGGCAGATAAGTCAGATACAGGTACTTACACTGGCTGCTTTTAAAACAGCACCTAAAATCTAAAGATCTCAAGTTTAGAAGAAATCCCCTTTTTCCCCAAAAAATTTTTAACTAACCCTATATATCCATCTTCCGGCAGGTCACACCCCTGTATTCCATACCCCTGATTAAGCAAGTCAGATTCATGAATCATGAGTCAGTGCTCAGAGATATCACCACAGAAACTGTGCCACATTTCTGGGTAAGGAAACAGCAACAGTACACAGTGGCAAGAAAAGCATCATATGGAGAACATAATGCCCAAGTTCACATTAGTCAAACATGGAGGGATCGCAGACTGTGGCATACCCACCAGAAATGTACTGTTACTCTGAAATTGAAGAGGGGGCTTTGCGGCTATCGGACAATATACAAGGGGAAGGAAAGCACCACATGCAGAGCACAATTCTCAATAGTATATACCAAGATGTTGGCCTTTTTTTTTTGCCAATGTAAACCTCTTGAAAGCAGCAGCATAACCCAAACATCTATGAACTACTATTTTTGGTTTCACAGAACATTTATACAGTGAAACTGAAAGAAGATCAGATTCAAAGTTATGATCTCACCTTAAGCTCCTGCTGGAGATGCTGGGCTTCAGCTTTCCAGCTCTCACATTCTGTACGCAATTCATCTACAAAATTGTTCAAATCATTGAGCTTATTTTCAATACTCAATTTAGCTTCCTGCTCACTTGCAAGACGCTCTGCAGCATTCACCTGCTCATTCAAAACAGCCTGGAAACAGAAAAACAGCCAGTAAAAAAAAAAAAGAATTTAGGATAATGTTTAAGAGGGATTAAGTAAAGCCCCCAGGAAAGAAAGTACCTGCAAGCACCACATGCTAAGTACACTGTAGCACTGAAAGCCAAGAAAATTATTAGGCCCTGAAAGGTTAAGTTTAAACCCTTAGTGGCATTCAGAAAATGTTTTCGTTCATGGGGACAGGAGCAATTTTGCCATGTTTAACCATAATTTCTATATTCCTCATTCATTGTACCTACACATTATATACTGTCTTTAAGAGGACAAAATGGGCTTTAATTTTATGTGATATATATATCTATCTATAATAATAAAAAAATTAATATTTCACAGTGTTGGCAGTAACAATGTGTACATATATGGTGTAGCCAACAAAGTAATTCATAATAATTGTATTTGTTCCGATGTATAGGGTTTATAGGTTCCGATGTATAGGGAGTGAAATACAACTTTAATCTGGAACAATTTTAGAATGTGGTATATTGGTCTCCTATCTTTAATAGCCTCCTCGGCACTATATTTTCTTAAACTAGGGGCCACATTATTTACAGGGGCTTTGATACTTAGCATCTCTGAGGAGAATACAGTGTTCTCCTCAGAGATGCTTTCTAACACACTGAGCCGGCTCGCAGCTCCAAAACACAGTGGGCTGAAAGTCGGCTCAGTGGCTGTCACAGCGCTGTGATAGCCGATTGCAGTTATCGCAGGGCTGGGACCACCTAATCTGCTATTGAGATTCTGCCTCAGATCCAGGAGGGACCGAGCAACAGCAGCAACCTAATGAGCGTTGGCGCCTCCCCAGTCCAGCGCTCATTCTACTGTATGGCAGGATTAGTCCGTCACTGGTCGTTAATGAACTGAACGATCCTGACAGAATAATCCAGTCATCGGTCCGGAAGGGGGTAAGCAAGTTTTTTTTTATTTCAACTGTTTTATAGCGGTGTATAGGTTAACGTAAGAAGCATAAGGCAGGGCTTGACAGGTCCCAGGAACTAATGTTTCTTAAAGTTACAGCTGCTGCCTACATTTTGAGGACTTCTCTAATTGCAGTGAATGGAACTGGCTAATAATATAAATTCTGCTGGCACCTGGTTTGGACATGCTGGCTCCTGGATTTCATATTAATTTGTCCACCCTTGGCATAAGTAATGTTGCGCCCTGTATTCCAGTAATTACGTAACCTATTTTCTTCCACAAAGACAATAAGGCCAACACTGTCCAAGAAAGCTTTTCCATTTATGGTGGGTTCTAAATACATGTATAAATAGGAATTTAAGATGACCCAGTCATAAGATAAGTATAGGAACTCTCCTCCTAAAAGTGTTTGATGCCTGGCTGTGTATCAATATTTTGAGTCATGAAGTTAAATCCGTAAAGAAAAGTAGCAAAAATCAGCAAAAGTAGAATGCAAGAACTATACAAATAAAAGATGCACTATAAAAGGAGAAAACTGAAAAAGAAATTTGCATGTGAAATATGTGCACGTGACATATGCCATATAATAAGTCACACTTACAAAGTGAGATTCAGCTTCTAATGTGGTCATATTCTGATTGCCATCAGTCTGTGTATGTACCTCTTCCATAAGCTTACGAGACGTCTCCTTCCACTCTTTTAAACACTGCCTGAGCTCTTCTAATTCTTCTTTGTACGTTCTCTCCCTCTTGCTTTGCTCCTTGGAGCTTTGAGTCAAGGTAGTTTGCAGAGACACATTCTGTTCTTGCACTTTTTGCAGGTCTATTTTGGTAGCCTCTAAAGCCTGGACACTTTGTGCCAGCTGATTACGCAACATAGACATATCACCCATATTCTGCTCCTGCAAAGTTTGAACTTCAAGTTCCTTTTCTACGAGAATGGCATCCTTTTCCCTTACAGCGTCTTGGAGTCTTTGCAACTGGGCAGTCAGAACAGCAATGAATTCTTCCCTCTGTGACACACGAGTCCTGAGTAGTTCAATCTCTTCCTGCAAGTTTCTATGCTCCAACTGAAGAAACTCAAGGGCTTGCTCTTTCTGCTTTAAAGACTGTTGGAGATTTTGTAAATCAGTCTCAAGAACCTCGGTCTCTGAAACATGCAGTACTTCCTTTTCTTCCAGTTGCTGTCGCAAGGCTTCAAGCTCAGTCATGCACAAAGACTCAGTATCCTCCATACTCTCTTTCTCCACACGTGCTCTCTCTAGCTGTCCAGTTCCATTTCTAAGCTCAGCCTGCAAATTATCTGTTCCTCCTAGACCCAATTGATCTAGGCTTTCTTGACTATCGCTGACCTCATGCCTAATGGGTCCCAGCTGCTCAAGCTCGTGCTGTAACTTTTCAATGACCTCGTGAAGCTGTTCCATCTCCTCCTCTTTGTCCTTACGAAGTCTCTCTTGGTCGCTGCGAAGATGCTCAACTAAAGACCTCAATTCCTCCGCATCTGATGTCTGCAAAATTTTCAAAGAAAGTTCTATGATCAGCTGTAGTATGAAAATAAAAACACTATACCAATGCGAACAATGTAAACCACATAAGAATGTTATGCTTTATAACAAATATGGATGTTCACCTAGACAAGTGGGATGTCTCCAATAGAGGTCATTAAAACATTCATAAAAAAATGGATTATAATGCAACCTGATTTCACGGAAAACACTTTTTCATATACTTGCACATAAGTTTGCCTTTATATCTGGCAGACCAGGGACCCTCCTTACATCTAAGTCTTGATCACAATTAAATGCTTTGGTGAATTATCTTGCATGATCATAAATTGCTGGCCAGATCACTTTGGGTATCTTTCTTTATGGTTTTTGTTTTTTTTTAGCAAGTGAAGCTTCTCGGAATATATTATATATATATATTTATTTTATTATATTCTGAGGTGGTTAAAGTAAAGCGGATGCCAAAACATATTTTATTTTTTTTGGATAGAGTAAGTATGGGTTATTATAACCCCTGCCTGCAATCAAAGTCGCATTGGGGAGACTTCACTTCTTGTCTGATAGCTACAACAGGAGGTAAGAGGAAATCCCTCCAAAAAGAGAGGGAAATACCTGGCGGTCAGCAGGGTCACTAGAACCCGTGTCCCCATTGGAATGTCTTCCATCTATTCCTGTTCTGATGACAACCCAAAATTTGGTATTTTCTTTCACTTTCAGTGATAATGATCACCAGGACAAAATCAAGAAGGTGAATCTCTCCAATGGGAACATTGACAGCAATAAAAACCTGACAGGTGTTCTATTACCTCTCCACTCTATCCAAAACGAAAAAGTTACTCGAGTTGCAGTCCCTTAAACCTTTTGTGCGGGGTGCACGCAAATTACAATGTTCAATTTGCAAAGATCCCTTAAATTAGATGAATAGCACAAACAAACTTAAATTTATACTACAGTGCCTCACAGAATCCATAGTGGAGGGGCTCTAAACTCCCCAGGTTCCTAAGCTTATATCAGATGCCATTCAGTTCCCAGCTTCCTTATATCCAATTTCCAGGGGCTCTTGTGGCACCAACTAGGGATGCACCGATATATCGGCGCCAAAACATATCGGCCGAAAATGGCACTTTTGGCATAATGCCGAAAGAGCCATGTTTCGGCCGATACATCGGCGCATCCCTGCTTTCTTTTCTCCCCGCTGGGCGCTGCTCTATGTCCCAGCGGGGAGAAGAGAAAGTGACAGCCGGCCGAGCGCTGCGGTGGAGAGCGCTGTGAGCGGCCGGGGTCTCCTCCCACACCGCTCTGCCGCGTATAACACAGTCCGGCAGAGCGGTGTGGGGGCGGAGACAGCGCTGTCACAGGAGGCTGGGCTTTTCTCCCTATACCGCTCGATCAGCCTCCTGTGACATCGTGTGTCAGAGAGAAAAGCAAGGTACACACACTCAGCGATCAGTGATCGCTGAGTGTGTGTACATAATTGAGGATATGGTATGTTAACTATATCCTCAATTATGAATGAATGGGAGTGATCTACATCACTCACAACTGTAGTTATAGTAAACATACCATGTTATCAATGAACAGGAACACTCAGAGGATTCCTGTTCATTGATAACAGGGGACACAGAAAAAGTGTGTTCTCAATCTCTTTTTCTATTTTAAAAGGGAAATATCAGGGGTCTGTTTAGGCCCCCTAATATTTCCCCAAAGCCAATAAAAGTTAAAAAAAAATAAAAAATGAATATAAAAAAATAAAGTTTATAAACAATAAAATATTGAAAAAATAAAAAACATTTTTGGTATCGGTTTCGGCCTAACATTTTTTTTATTTCTGTTTCATTTTTAAAATTTCCATTTCGGCGCACCTCAAGCACCAACCCCAAATCAGTAATGAACATCTTAGTGTACCAGACATTAAAAATATGGGATATTATGCTTCAGAAAGAATACGTTCCCCTCTTTTACACTTGTACTTTTACATAGCCCACACTCTGAAACAATAGTATTCTACCTGAACTTCCATTACCTCTGCACTCCCAAGTGCACTTATGTACACGTGTATAGACACACACACCATTTTCCTTAGGTCATTTCTTACCTCCTCTTGCAACCTAAGAAGTTGTTCATTCAAATGGTCAATCTCTTGGTTCTTTTCTTGTAATAAAGCTTGGAGAAGTTCCAGTGAAGAGCTAGATTTGTCATGAGTTCTTTCAAGATGCAGAGAAGACATTTCTTCCTGTTAAAAAAAAAAAGAAAAAACACATTATTAGTGCCAATCCAGCAGCAGAAACATTGGCGATTTCTTCAGCAATGCACTTGCCTTCAGCTGCAGGTATTCTTCTTGTGCCTGCTGAGCAGCCTGCTCACTCTGTTTGCGCTGGATTTCAAGCTGCATGTTCAGCTGAAGGACCTCTTCTGTCTTGTTTGTTAGTTCTTCCCTGAACAGCTCTAGCTGCTCAGCCAGACATTCAGCCTGTAAACAAATGTTATTATTTTGTATTCTGCTTCGTATCAGACCTTAATTTATTGAGTTTTAAGAATTATACCTCTTTCTCTTTCCTTTGAAGAGCTTCACGTTCAGCTTGTAATTCCTTCTTTAGAAGGCTGTCAGGCTCGCCTTCTACAGGCAATCTGTGCCGGGTCTCATCTAACTTTGACTGCAGGGCAGAGATCTGAAGCACATTATTGTACTGCTGCTGTTGTAGAGCATCTTTGTCCTAAACCATATTGACAGATTTAATCAGTGACATGGAAATATACATTAACAGCACTACCAATTTATTTTTAATGTATTTTGCATTGAAACATCTTTTGCGCGGACAAGTGATAAATGCCTTCAGCCATCAAATCTAAATAAAACATTTACAATTGTTTTTAAATTCAAAGTAAAATTGAACTTGGCCTCTTACTCCCTATGTTTCTTCAACTCCTGTGGCTCTTTTTGGGTACCTTCCCATGGGGTTCCTCTTTTTTTGATGTTTCAACATGCGGTTTCAGATTCCCAGGGGGTGGTCTGGTGTTTCCATGGACTAGTCGGTGGTATGGAGTCGGTGGTGCACAGAGACTTCTCTGGAGCTGGTCCTGCTATGGGGTAGTGCGGGGACTATGCATAGCCGTTTACGGAGTAGTCTCTCAAGTTCTGCGTTTTCTTTTCAATCATCCTTGCTATGCCTGAGGTTACATTTCTGGATTTGTGCCACGGAGTGTCCTTGCTGCTCTATCGGTTTCTCGTACTATTTTCTGTATTTCTTTAATTGTTTAATAAAAATTCTATTTAAAAAAACTGTCAGTTTTTCAAAGTCGGATAGGAGTATCCACTGTTCTTTAAGAATCACAGAGGCCCCCACAAAAATGCTGCAGCTGGAATATCTCCATACATTAGAAACTAGCCCCGCTCATCCCTCAAATAGCCCGGTGGTAAGCTTACCATTAGCAGTAATTCTACCTCAACAAGTCTTGCCAATAGCTCTCCATTTTCCAAAAGGTGGGCACATCTTTCCCAGGTCCAAATCATGGAAACCGCCCAGTATGGCAAGGATGAGATTTCAGTAAAGGATATTTTACATTCAACCTATCCCACACTCTCAAAGTCTGAGAGTATGGGAGAGAGTGAGCCTGGAGTTTTGTACAGACAGTCCTCTATGCTGTTGGGCAAGGCAGTGAGTATGAGCCAGGTAACATCTTTTCAAGGGGAACCCACTGATTATTCCACGCATCATTGTTCCAGTGTACCATCCTTAATGTTGCTCCCTAAAAGTGTATTTTCACTTTTGCAGCCAAATTGGGATAATGCTTCTTTTAGATTTGTTACATGTTCCCATTCACATAGCATAAGCTGAAACCAAGAAACTTGAAATAAAAAAAATGCTTTTTGCAGTTTAATTTGCTTTTACTAAGAAAAAAAACACAAACAGGGGGTGCCTTTCCTGGTGCAGACAAATTTATTAAGATCAGGATCAAAGGTAGATAAAAAAACACACTCACAAAATTCAGCATGATAATGATATAAAAAGTAAGTCCATGGGCCCAACAGAAAGTCTATGGAAGCTGCACAATCGTGTCTATGTGTCAGCAGAGGAGACTGTGTGATGACGCGTTTCCGGGGTCACGCCCCCTTCATCAGATGCCGACCACCTCCGTCCCATGTGCTAGCACATGCTTTTTATTATTTATATATTTTTTAACAGACTTGTTTCTGATTACACTTGTGCTTATATTGGTCCATACTGGCGGAGTAGTCCTTTTTGGCGCTTTTCTGTGTTCATATCTGCTTTTACTAAGAAGTTAGGGTGTCTATTTAACTTCTTAAGGGTTAACACTTCTACTTGCGACTTCTTGGGAATGTTAGTAGGGGTTGAAGGGTTTGTTGACCTTAGGTCTATGGTGCTGGTTCCTTTCATTAAGATTTGAACATTGCAACCCTGACTTGTGCATTCAAAATGTTCATGAAGTTAATGAGAGAAACACAATCTTCAAAATTATATTCCTAAGTCTTTCTATAAGGACAGATCACTGTGAAAAAACCTGGAATCTGCCATGTTGTCCGCCAAAGCCAAACATCAAAAAAGGTAAGAAACATTTTAAAAAATATATATATATATTTTTTCGTTATGCTGTGTGAATGGGAACACAAACAGGTTTTCTCAAATTTGACTGCAGAAGTGGAAATGCACTTTAAAAATGGACTTGGAGATCCAGCAGGCCAAGACCTCCCATCTGTTTCGATCGCCAAAATAAAGAAAAAGCGTTTTTTTGTGCTCCAATTCCTTTGCACAAAAGCCTAAAGTATTAGGCATAGCTAAAAGAAATACATTGCCTGGGACCTCTAAGGGAAGCATTTGGAAATAAAAGTATCATTCATTTTAAGCCTTTGTACCCTGCCCAACCAAGTGAAAGACAATTTATGCCTTGGTTTTTTTGTTTTTTTTTTAAATGGAGACGGGTCCTTTTAGGAGGCAAATTAAGATTTTTTTTTTTTAATGTGGCTTTTAAAATTGGAAAAGGTCATAACAATTTTAGATCGTTCAGCCCTTATATTTAGGCGGTAAATGTGTGGTTTTCTCACAAAAACCATGGCGATAGAATGAATTTTGATTTTACATAAAAAGGCCTCCTGCATAATCGCACAAGACCAGCATATTACTAGGTTTAGCAGCAAGGATAGCACACAAGATATTTGTTTGATTTTGATTCCTTTTTGAAAAAACAAAAGAATTGAGCGTTTAATACTCAGGGCATGAGGGGAGAGAATATCTTAACGTTTAGTTTTCAGAGCCTCAACTTTATTACCCATCTGCCTGGTTTCTGACCTTTTTTGTGTTGCTGTAGAAAAGTATCAATGTTTCAGGGACATATGTAAACCATGCGTGGTGGGTATGTCCTAATAATAACTGCTGTGTGTCCCACCATAATGCCACTATCTGGTGCCCCCAGTCTGTAGATCTGAGGCTGTCATTAAGGAGCTGTCCTAGCTCCTCCAGGCCCACTGAATTTCCTGTCTTCTAGGCTGCACTCTCAGACCCCCTCTGTCTAAGGAGAAGCTATCGATCTATCCTTTCCTGGCTATTGGCTACCGTTGGGGAAGCCAGGATATTCAGCACCACCCTTGCATTGTCACTGGTTGTTTTCATTCGGGTGCGCGGTGTATGTTGTCATTTCAAGCAGGAGCTGTGAGAAATGCGGCTTCATCTATTAATGGCCAGCCATAAGACCACTCCCCACCCATTTTTTTTTAGATTTCTTAAGCTCAACAAGAAAAAAAACCCCATTGTTACTGGTTTTTGTGAATACAAATGTTAGGATAGACCACCATATAGAACAAGAATACCATAAACAAGCCATCATCGCCAGGCACTAAACACATCAGAAACCAGGTATTTCCTTGCTTACCTGTAATAATTCCTTTTGAATCGAGTGCATATTCTTCAATTCTGCTTCCAACTGGCTGCAATTTTTGGCTGCATCAGCATTACTGAGAGCAGCCTGTTCCAGCTCCTGTATTCTCACCAACATCTTGTCGATTTCATCATTTCTTTCAGCTATTTGTTGCTCTAGGTGATCTTTTCCCTCAATCAGCAGGTTAAGGTTTGCCTTGTCTTTTGCATTAGTCTCACGAGCTTCATTCTAAAAGGAGCAAGCAGTCAAACGTCCATTTAATGTAGGCAATAACTAAGAATAAACAGCCTAGAAATTGGTGCTAAAACAGACAAATGTGAGACACAAAAACCTTAACTATTGAAAAATCAAATAATTATTACCGGTACTACATGATAGCTACACAAATACACATGCAACCTAGAAATACTAGATGTAAAGCAGATACAGAATTGCCAAATGGTGAACTGAAAAGCAGATTATAACTAAATGGCTGTGATTGCCTAATAATTGCCATGCAGCACTGCCAAGCTATTAAACACACAGCCATCACTAAACTAGACGGAAGGGATCAGATGGAGACAGGGCCATTCATACCTGTTCACTCCAGTCATGGAGCTATTTCACCAAAACAGAGAAAAGGAAAAAGATGATAGAACCATTAAAATCACTGAAGTAACAATGATGACATACAGTATTGTGCAGAAACCACAGCTTTGGGAGGTTCGATGGTCATGTGAGACGCCGTCTAGTGTTTTTGGTTCAGGTTTTTCAGTTGAAGGATCAGATTGCAGATCCTTCTCTTTAGCAGAAATCAAGTATGTGAATGGCTTGGCATTGGGTCATGTGACTAGCCTGTGGGATCCCCGAACTATGGTTTCTTCGACCACCTCAAATAATTCATGGATTCTCTTAAATTTCATGAAATTGAAATGAAATTTACTCTTACAAGCTACGCCATTAAAAAGTACTCTGTGATAAATATTCCAATTAATCCAACAACTTGTTTGGTATTGGTTCTCTCAGAAACAATTGCCGCACATACTGACTGATATCACAAGCTGGATACTGTTTATTCCCGAAGTCAAAACATGCTGTAAACCATGTTTTTACAGCATGTTTTGACTTTGGGAATAAACAGTGTTACCTCATGTGTTTATGCCAAATCATCATAAGACATCTGTACAGGTATTCCTCAATTAACTACCGAGTTCCGTTCCTACGACCAGGTAGTTAAACGAATTGGTCGTTAAGTGAGGAACTCTATACAGTACTGTACTGCATTGGTACAGTACTGTACTGCATTGGTACAGTACTGTATAGTGTTGCTGATGTACAGTACTGAACAGTGTAGTGTACATCGGGCAATAAAGTACTTACTGAGACCAGCGGTGAAGAACGGAGCACATCACTTCCACTGGTGAGACGTCACACTACCCCTGCCACGTTCCCGCATGTAAGGTCGGAGGTCGGTCGTAAGTGCGAGCGGTCGCAAAACAGGTAAATCAGTAAGTGAGGAATGTCTGTATATAGTTTTATTTTTTTAACGAAACATATTCTATGTTGGGTGACTGAATAGAGTAGGGAAATGATTGTGTTTGTACGGTCCTGAGGAATTGATTACATGGGGATTTTTTAATGTAATTAGGTGTTGCCTGTTAATGGTAAATGGTCAAGACAAGAGACAATGAAATCCATGAACACTTCGGAGCCGAGACCCTTGATTCTCACAATAGGTGCATACACTTTTTTGTCTCTGGCCAATATCAAAAGGTTTCCTTGTCGATGGTAAAAGAACCAGATTGTCCCCCTGGTTTAGATAAAATCCTGGCCTGGGGTTAGCCAATCCCTAGACAGAAATTCAATCTGAATAAATTAAGCATTGGGAGGCCACCAATCGATGTCTCTTAATACATTTCTATGAAGACCAGTGGTATATTAATCAAGGGGCAGGAAGGGAAAATTGAGCCTTTTTTAGACCACCAGGATGGGGCCCTCGTGTGACAATTAATGGGTAAATATGCCTGTACTCTTTCCCCACTTAAATGTATGTCTACCGTTTGTCTGTTACATACCAATGTCTGTGTATTTTGCATGTTTAAATCTTTTCTTTGTATTTTGTAATTAAATAGATTGTTGGTTTGCTGTATTTAAGTCTGAATACTATAGCAAAATAAATCTCTGTTATTGTGTTGAGCTCAAAAATGTCATGGTTGAATCCTCAGAACCATATACTTTTGAATGTGTGAACGCATACATAGCGGTTCATAACTTAAAAATTAGTAAAATGGGTAACAACAGTATCCAGCTTGTGATATCAGTCATTTGTGCGGCAATTCTTTCTGTGAGAACCAGCATCTTGCTGCAGTATGCCCTTTTTTTTTGCTTGCACCAACAAGAGGTATGGGGCTGTGTGACCCCAGGACAAGGAACATGAGCGGTGGCTGCTTTGTGAACTTGTTTGGTATATTTGTTCTGCAAGTATTATATTAAATTAGCAATCCACCTGATTTCAATAGTAAAAATAAAATAATCAAGTAAACACATAGGTGTAAATCCAGCCTTATCCATAACCAATAAAGATTTGGCTAAAGTTGGGCTTTGATTTATAAAAATTCTGTGTACAATCTGAAAAAATGCCATATGGTAACAAAATAACAAAAAATGAATTCACACACTGCCAATTGATGCAGATAAAATTTTACACAATACAAAATGGAACAAAAAGACTTTCATGGAGACAGATATAGAAGACTCTGTATTACTCACGCGGTGTGTCCTGGAATCTCCATGATTTTTCAGTGCTTGTTTGAGCTGCTCCTCCAGATTGAGGATCTCCTGTTGGAAGTCATCTCTCTCATGCTCACGCTCAACCGCTTGTTCCTGCATTGAGAGAGGAAGAATAAATACCAAGCATAACCCTATTACAACACCAGCAAATCAGTAAAACAGCACAGTCTTTAAGCTGAATTTTTTTATTATTGTTAAGAAGTCAGGCTGCATAACAACTAAAGAAAGGCATGGCAGGGTTTGTTTTCTTTTAAATTAAGTACTAGTGCTTAAAACCTCTTGACAGCATGCTGGAGATCCCGATGATCCCCTCCATACAGCACTTCAATCAATGCTGCTCATGGAATGTTGTGAATTGGAGTACTGTGCAGAGGGCATGTTGGACTGCTGGAAACCCAAACCACTGCACGAAGTATGAAAGGCTCTCTGGCATGTTGCCAGCATTAGGCAGTTTCATATAGATCTGACCACACAATAACAGACTATAATTGGGTTTTCTTAAAATGGGCAATCAAAAAAATGTTGTACTTTCCCATCAAATTGTTTTGCTTTTATGAAGTTCATACAGTAAACTGGCATTTTCAATTATTGCTGTTATTTGTTATCCCAAAATAATCCAATACTAAATTATATTCAAAAGGTTTTGTCCTAATTTTTTTGAGTTACATAGTATTTGGGCTTGAATAAAGACATACGTCCATCAAGTCCAACCCATATAGGTCCACGCTCAACTCATTCTTAGGAGTACTTGTACCCATGAATATTACGGTCCCTCAGGAAATCGTCCAAAAGTTTCTTGAACAATACCACACTCTTAGCTTTAATCACTGCCGAGTTAGAATATCAATCTTGGGATGTATTCTCAAGAATAAAAGGGGGTCAGTTAATTCATTAAACCTAAAAACTGAAAGACATACATCCATAAACTGTCTCTGATGCTTCAGCTGCTTTTCTAGAGCCTGGATTTGTTGCTCAAGGTCAGTCATTTCACTTCTTTTCTTCAACAGTTCCTGGTTACGAGCCATTTGGTCTTCCAGTTCCATTTCCAGGACCCTCATATGGGAAAGCAAGTTTGATCGATCCTTGTCTGCTTGACAGTGTAACTCAAGTTTTTCCTGTACTAGGCGTTGAGTTTCTTTCAGAAGTTCTGTTTGAATAAAAGAAATTGTGAAAACTACAAATCGACATAGTCCAGACAACAAACTAGCACCTAAGCATTATAGAAAACATACAGCAGACTGGAGCACAACAAATGGATTTGAGATGTAGTTCCCTTTGCTTTTATTACTATAGATTATACCCCATATATCAGAATAAGTTACTAAAGCACACATTTACTTTTCTTTGACACAGTGTTAAATCAAAATATATATCTATATATAGATAGATATCTATATAGATCTATATCTATAGATATGGATCTATATCTATAGATATAGATCTTTGTGACCACACAACACAGCTGAGGGCCAACAGAAATGCAGGGTGCATGTGGGTGGACCAGAGACCATTCATGCAAGCCATGATCACAATTTGCATAAAAAACATCATAGGATCGGCGATTCCGTCCAGATGAACTATGTAAATAAATGGTAACTAGTGGTTTGAACAACTCTGTTATTGCTGAGGAAACAGGATTCAGGGCTCCCTCCAATGACAGTGTGCTGGAGCACCACAAGTAAATCGTATGTGATATGATTAAACACATACTTGATGACCGCTGCCGCTTCTAAACGGCATATTTAGGATTCCTGCTGCTGGAATTCACATGTTCCTGCCACAGGGATCCCTAAACACACATACTTTGTAGGTGTGAACAAAGCCTAAAATCAGTAAGTGCTCAGGAAGGAGACACTGATTGGCTAGTTCTTCCTCAATGCCAGTCAAACATTTTTGATATCTAAATTATTTTATCCATTTGAATTTCCTCTCTTTTTTTTTAACAGTTTTTTGCCGTAAAACCAGACTAAGAAAACATAATATATTTGACAAAAAGGTTCAGTTTAAGAATAAAATTACTGCCAGTTATTTTTACCTGATACCCAGAACAATTTTTTGTCCCAGCTCCTCTAATCCACTTTATCCTGCTTATTGAGAGCACAGCTTACATCTGCAGAGCTAAATGAATAGCCAGGCATTTTCAGGGTTAACCACAAAAGGGTGAAGGATTTGGAGAAGGCAGGAGAAGTGAACAATCTAGGCCAAAATAGCTGAATTGGAAAAATTCTCCAATTCATCTCATTTTCCGGTTCAGCTATGTTGTCCTAGATTGTTCACTTCTCCTGCCTTCTCCAAACTCTTCATCCTTTTGTGAATAACCCTGTTTGTTTATTATTCTGGTTGACCTTGCCTGCTACAGTCATGCGTACCCTGTAAAAAGGACATCTTGTTCGCCTTTTCAAAAGGATACCTCATGCTTTTTCATATCAAATTATTTTACAATCCCCAAGCTATCCCTCCTGTATTAGAGGTTATTCAATATTTACAATACAATACAAAATACTGTGACAACATAAAACACATCTCTATTTGTACAACCGTGTCCAGAAACATTTCCAGCAAGCAATAGTTTACAGTATGCACACTATGTGAATCCACCAGTCTCTCTCAATTAACACCAATGATGTCCCTATATGAGCAGTCCCACGCAGATGTCAGCGAGTCCAGGTATCACTCCACAGGACTTGAACTCACCTTCTTAAAAGGGCCTCAACTAAAATACTTGAGCCAGGCCAATTATGCTTACACCACTCAGGGGTTAATAACTCACTAAGTCTTCCTGTATTATACTCTCAGAAGACTCCCAGGGTCACTCAGGAAGAAAAAAAATATGGTGACACATAATTCTATAAATCTTTAATAGGTATTAAAAAAAACAAACACACACACACTTGGAAAAGTGGTGAACATATAATGGGGGGAATGTATCAAAACCGGAGCAGACAAAATATTTGCACTGCAGCCACTCAGCTTCTTTCTCTCATTTTCAAATTCCACCTTAGCAAACTGAAGGGAGAAGCTGATTGGTTGCCATGCACAACTGCTACAGATTCTGTCTGCTCCAATCTTGATAAATTCCCCCAAATGTACAAAGAAAGCATTTTAACAAACCCCCATCTCTTACCATCCCAGAGTCATACTGAAAGCCACATTTCTGTGGTGAATTAACATGCACCGAGCATATTGCAGACTATTGCAATATTATTGAATCACCTGTACAAACTACAGATCGCTTCCCCTGCAGATTTTTCTGGACACGGTTATAAACAGTGATGTGGGTTGTTTTTTTCTTCCATTTTATCACAATTGTACTTACACGAGAGGGATAGATTATTTTTTTTAGTTTGCATAATTTTTTGTCTTTAATCATTTTCAATCTTGGTACTTAGAGGTGTTTTTGTAAGGTGCTGGCTGCTTATTTAGTTCAGGTTTAGATTAGAGTGCAGAAGGTTCTCGGTAAAGAAATACTCAATGAAAGATGTATGCAATGTGCTGTAATTATGTGCCAAAAGTGTACAGTCTTACCAACTTCAACATCCTTCTCACTACTTGACAGAACTTCCTGGAGTCTCAGCAACAACTCCTTCTCTTCCCTGAGAACAGCAGGCTCCTGCATTAGGACTTTCAGCTGCTCCCGTGACTTTTCCAGTTGTACAACAAGCTGGTGCTCAGAAGTCTCTTTTAATGACAATGTTTCTTCCAGAGCAGCTTTCTCCGCTGCATAACCTTCAATAAGTCCTGCATCACACAACAGATCATTAGGAAGCATAAAGTAACAAAAGGATCTGGTTTGTAAACAATGTACAAAAGATACAACTATAATGTTATCAGGGGCGTCCCGAGGCAGGGTGTCACCCTGAGCGGGTACTGGGTGACACCCCGCAGTGTTGGCACCACGTGCGTGATGACGTGCGTATCTTGGTGATACCTGCCGGTGGCCATCTTGGTAACGGACGACAGCAGAGACGGGGATTCATCCGGTGGGGTAAGGTATGCTGCCGGGTTCCCTCCTCTCTCCTGCAACTGTCAGGCTCTCTCTCTCATGACCGATTGCACGACTTTTCAGAGGTGGTGACACCAAAATGACTGTCAGTCATTTTGGTGTCACCCTGGTGCAGCCCTTTTTTTGGGTTGCACCCGGGGCGGCCCCCCCCCCCCCCCAAACCCCCTAGTGACTCCACTAAATGTTACTACATTTTTAAAGTATTGTTGTCACGCAAATCCCTTTAATCCCCCTACACCTTCATTTAACTTGTATACAAAATTTTGGACTCTCACGATCATCTAAAAGAGGTCACCCAAACAGCTCCATTATTATACAGGATTTATATTAAACCACTAAACCAAATCTGAAAAGATATTCCTATACTACATGATACTAAAGGTAACTAGAAATCATAAATTACCACAGATCTGCTGATCACGTCATACCAATTCCGGTACGTTTTTCTGAAAGCCAATTAGAGACTACAGCAGACCTCCGAGTGATAAGCCCTACCCTTAGAAGGAAAGACTATAGGCAAAAAACAGAAGGGTATGTGCCTCCCCCTGTAGGCTATATATATTGTTAAATGTTTTGCTTCCCAGTAAAAGTTTACTCGAGTCTTTCTTAGACTTTCAGTATTCCTGCTTGCTCTCAGCAAAATTCAAACAGGCTTCTAAACTAAGACATGCTATCAGAAATACTACCTTCAAAGTCACTTCTGTCACACTGGATCCAAAATAAGGAGATTCACGGATGATTTGCTACTCTACCCTGCCTGAGAAACGTAATGGTTTAGGTCCTGGACTCTCTGGTTTGCAGTATGCCCTCTTCCTGGGGGTCGGTCTGGTGGGCTATCAACTTGTTTGGCAAACAGTCAAATATCCTAATTCTACCCAATGCCCTTAGCACTTGGTCTCCTTACCCTGAGCTTTGTGCAGTTCTACCTCCAGCTGGTTCTTAGTCTCCGACTCCTGTGCAAGCAGTTTCAACAAGTCCTGATTCTTAACCACTACTTGAGCCATCTCTTGATTTCGACTTTTAAACTCCTCCTCAAAAGATTTCTGTATATCACGAGTCTGCTCCAACTAAGAATGAAAGTATAGAGCACAATAACAAAACCAAAGAATACAATACACTAAAAATTGAACAGCAATATCAATGTGTTTTTGCAAAGTACTAGGAGTAGCTTCCCTACAGCCTTTCAGGCCAGGTCCGATGCCAATTGGTGTCTGAAGGAAAGTCACTCTAGCTTTTAGTAAGAACATTCCGAGTGTCAAACATATTACAGCTGATATGGAAAAGAGGACTTTTTCAATACAAACTAAAGCCACGCAATTCATTGATTTTGTGTATGCTATGCCAGACTACACCGATTTGTAGTGTCCGACTTTGTGTAAATAATTTATAAACATTCTCATGTCAGATCGACATCTGAAGACAACACAGATCGATTAGATCATTTTAACAACACATGAAAATGAACCATGTTTTACATTTTCTCCTACCTGAAGTGATGAATTAGAAACCATATCTAGAAGTCTCCCAACAGCAGAACGTAAACGCTGGCTCATCTGTACAATCTTCTCTTCATTCTCTAGACCAACTTCTAGGCTCCCCAACACACTATCGCACAAATATTCTGACACTTCATATCCCTCATCTGTGGACATCAGGCTGTGCTCTGTCAAAGTGTCACATTCTGGACTCAGGCGATGTTTCTCACTCACTGCAACGGGAAAAGCCAACAAATTCAGAGATGCATAACGTTTTTGTTTCTTATTGTTTGCGTCCTTCACATCTTTTCCTTGATGCGTTATCCCATTGAACACTATGGAAACGCATCAAAATGAATGTTGATGCACATTGCAAAGCACCTTGTACTGAATGTAACGAAGAGTCATAACACATATCAATGTGGGCTGATGTGTCAGGTGTGTTGATGCACATTTTCTTTAATATACATTGGGGTGCTTTTCAATCAAATTTAAATAGAAAAAGGCATCAAACAAAATTGCATAGGTGTGAACTGGCTCTTAGACATTACCAACAACAAACAAAAAAGCACACACACACACACACACAACCCTGTGCTTCCAGCAAAGCGCAAGCTGTATCCAATTAAACTTGTTAGATTACTCTGCTACACCAAATGAACAATCCTTATCCATCAGCAATACCTGCATTCCCTGTCATAATAATCCAGTAAGAGCTGCTACTATTTAGATTTTTATTTTTTTAACTGATGGAAACCCCCCACAGACTTAGCACTGCATCCATACAACCCATGCAAATTTGTCCACTACTGATAAATGAAACAAAATAATATCTAAAAAGGCAAAAAAAAATTATTTTCAGATTGGGATAGAGCAGAAAGAGGTTATAACCCCTGTCAGGATTTACTGGTTAGAGTCCAAATTTGGGAAACATGCACTCTATTAGTCCAGCTGACTGCGGTCTATAGGACTAAAAAGGTACCCACACACCTTACAATTTATCTGCAGATTTTCTGTGGTCAGATGGAAAAAGTGCAACAGATTGGCCCAGGTGGAGATTACTCCATCCACACAGTCTAATGTGGGCACCTTTACAATTATCTGGAGATTTTTGTCTGTGATCACATTTTCGTCCACAAATCTGCCAGTTGATGGAAAGTGCACAACCTTAATTAATGTACAAGTGGCAGATTTTTTTGCTTTCAAGCGGGCTAGAAAATTTTTGTCTAGTTGGACGAAAAATCGACGGATTAGTGACATTTTTGTACAACAAAAATCTCAAGATAAAAACTACACATCCTCAAACGAAAATCTGTTCTTACCATTTATGAAAATCGTTTGGTTACTGGTGCTCTCCGGTTTCCCACACTCGACTTGACTGCTAGAGTTCACTGTCCACAGTATTGCGCTTTGCGACTACACCAATCAGCGTTGATGCCGTCTCCGGTCACCATGACAATGGATGATGCAGATTCTCTGCGCCGGCGCACGAGAACTAGGGGCTGTGATATCCTGTCTCTCTGGCCACTCCAGCGCCTGCATCTGATTTATCTGCATCCCTGAACCGGACCTTAACCACACTCCGGGAACTGGACCCTGATTGCAATGGGTATGCTATACGTTTCTTAAGCTGGTATTTCATTGTTTATTGTTTTTTTGTATTTGAAAATGGCCAATTTTCCCGCCATTATGATGTCACGGAGGGTGTTGCTTTTGATTATTGGTTAGCCTCATGAGGTATATATGTGGTTGTCAAATGTCAGTGTATTGTCACCCTTTAAGCCCTGATGAAGAGACCCTGTGGTCTCGAAACGTTCGCTCTTGTGATTGTGTGACGTCTATGTCCAATAAATGGACATGTTGGATTATTCTACTGAGTGCTGGTGATTCCTCTTCCTACAGTTAGTGGTGCTGACGAACGTTAACTGCGTACTACATTGGTCTGTGCATGATGGGCTAGTTGAACGAAAATTGAACGAGGGTGAGAGGTCTGGACAAAAAAAGTTGTACAATGGTTGTAAGGTGTATGGCCTCCTTAAAAAGGTATGGGGGAAAACAAAAATGCAATGTGAAACAAGAGATGATAAACCTCAACTAGGAAAAAATTCTTCCCACTTCCTGGTGCGTTTACAAAATAGGAAGTACAATCTCTCAAACATGGCACAATAAAAAAAAAAAAAAAAGGATTTTTGTAGTTACCGTAAAATCCTTTTCTTGGAGTACATTAAGGAACACAGAAATTCTTAGACTATCGGGTTATACTGCTGCCTACAGAAAAAATGGACACTGGAAACAAAAGGTCAGTAGCCAGCACAGGATAACCCTGCGCCCACAACCATCTTGCATTCATTTGTACCAAAGTAGTACTAACGGCTTGAAAAACACTGGGGGAAAAAAAAACCTGTGTCCCTCAATGCACTGCAGGGAAAAATTTTTTTTTTACAGAGTACACAAATTCAATTTTCTTTATCATCCATTGGGGGGACACAGGAATTCTTAGGATTCTTAGACTGTTAGGACCTCCAAAAGCAGTCCAACAGTTGGGTGGGAAACATAGCAAGAAAGGCTAACAAGCCCAAGAAAAGACCTCAAAAGGAACAAAACAAAAACACACAAACAAAACTGGGGACTGCCTACAGCTCATGAGCTAAGAGCTACATGAAAGGACCTAATGGCCGAAGCTAGCATTAGATGAGGCCTAAATATCCAACTGGTAAAAAATAAGAAAGAAAAATAAAAAAAAAGACCAGGTGGCAGCCATGCAAACTGGGAAAGGTTGCACTATGACAAAATGAGCAAGAAACACTCACAGATCTAAAACATGGTGGATCCTGATCCTTAAGGCTAGGTTGGGATGGCTGTCTGCTTGAAATCACAGAGATGGTGAATAGAAAATCCGGTCCATCCAGAGTACAAAAGGAATCAATGCTTCTGAAAAATGCAGAGGCTGAGAGATTGTCTTTCACGGTCCAAACTACATCCAGACAATGGAGGGAAATTTCCATTTGGTGAAAATGCAGTTTGCAGGGTTTGGGAACCATAAACGGATTCAAGTAAAAACCTTGAAAAATGTTCTGCCAAAGGAATAGGACTAATGACACCCGAATACCACAGACCTTGGGACATGGGAAGCTGGAACACACATATACATACAAAAACATTTAGAAAAAAAGAGTTGGGGTTTTAGAGAAAAATAACCACAATGGGACATTCCCAAACAAAGTGCAGGAATGGACCTCGGGTTCTATTATATAAAAAATGTTTTAAACAGCAATCTTTTCACCTTACACAAGCTAGACGTAAGAGTATTACCTTTTGATATGTAACAGACAACTTGATTTATTATGTTGCTATATTGATTGAAATGTACAGGAAAAACTCAAGTTTTGGTCCTTCTGTAGTCACCCAATGATTAGTAAGAGAAATACCTGTTGATTTTGTCAGCGCATCGCTGTTTCTATCTTCAGATAAGGTACTGTCTAAGCAGAGACCAATTTTTTTGAAAATTAAATCTTCTGTGACGAGTGTGTTCTTTAACACATCAGTGAAAATCTTCAGAAGACGCTGGCAAGAATCTTGGAGTTTTCCCCTGAAAGAAGAAAAGCAAAAAAAAAAAAGCCCATATTTCACTTTAATCACAGACTCAATAGCTACACAACACTGAGCCAAAATCATTTTCCTATCAGACCATAAAACTATGCGATAAAACTAAATTACAGAACAAGTCAAATTTAATGTTAGATAATGTTATGATGTTAATGAATATTGTTTTCATGATTTTCTCATGTCTACAATTTGAGAAAAAAAAGGGCCTAAAGCAGAACATAATTTTTTTTCTACCACCAAACACCCATCAAAAAGTTGTTTCTTCAACTTATGATCATGTGCTTTTACATGTTTTCACATTAGGCTTCTCTGTAAAATATGCTTAAACATGTAGCACACAGGAGCATGCAGTCAGTCACAATCATTAACATTTCACTTTTCTTGTTGCACATTGCATTAAAAACAGAGTTATGTGCTGCTTGTATAAGTGAGGCCAAAAGCCCAAGTAAGCATATATACTCCAAAAAACATTCCCCCTAAAAAGACACCACCACGCAAAAATCTCAACTTACTGCTCCTGGCGGGCTCGGTGTACTTCAGATTGAAGTATTGTTTCCAAATTCTTTCCTTCTTGGTTCTCTCTTTCTCTGGTCTGCACAATCGCCTCCACCTGAGACTGCACCCCTTCCATCTCATTTGTTAGTAAAGAGACCTTCTCCTGCAACTGAGAGTTTCGGACGATGGAGAAGAGCGTCATAAAGCTGATCATGACCAATGCATGTCAACTAAAAGATTGTTTCTAAGAATATAGCGGCAGAGCTGTCTGTACAGAAAATATTGCAGATTCTTCTCCATTGTATCTGCTAGCAAAGCAACATAAGTAACGTCTCTATATTCTTTATTTGAATTATGCACAGCATTTATAAAACTGGCAGAAACTGAATTCAGTTAGGCAGTCTTTCTAAATGGAGAATGTAGAGTATTATTCACAGCTTCACATGGAGCCTAGTCACCACGACAACAGCTTGTAAGCTTGGCAATCCCAAACACAAGAAAGGCCACCCCCTTCTGTTGCTTCAAGAATCATTTTACATGCTACCTGAATAACTTCACAGGCTGTCACCTTTAAACTAAAAGGAAACAGCTTACCACACTGGTGAAGTTCACCTGGCAAGTTGGAGAAATAAAAATTAAGCAAGCACCCAGGTAGTAAACAACTAAACCAAAATATTGGCCCTCCTGTGAGGTGTATGCACAGCATATTAGCACATTTTGGCAGACTTAACTTGCAGGTGCTCCCCTCCAGAGCTCTACTCTTTTGTTGCCATCTTTTCCAGGTCTTCTACCAGGTACATCTTCAGCCTCTTGATTGGCTGGAATGGTGTACCTCATGTTGCACGGGGTTACTTATGCCCCATTTGCACCAGAGCAACAGTGCTTCAGCGTTGTTTTGGCTCAATTTTTAGTGATTCTGCACGTTACACCACATATTACAGGCATTTTTTAAGCGGACTATTGACTATTTAAAATGACGGGTGTATTTGTACATGCGATTCTGCATGTTTGCATGAATGGCTCCCATAAAAATATATGGGATTTTATTTGCATGCGTTTCAGCGTGGAAAAATCCACACAACAAAACCACCCTGGTGTAAACATGGTCTTACTCTTTGCACACAACCTTACCAATATTGTGCCCTGAGCTGCGCATACATGGCTCAGAGCACACAAACAGGTAGGGAGATGCAATTTTGACAGAAAAGACACTTCCACATTACAAAAAAAATTATAAATAAATGGGGGAAAAAAAAAAAAAGAAAGTAAAAGCCTCCCACACCTGCAAACACATAAATGGACTTTAACAGAACAGGTGGCATTCAAAGAAACAGTGTAATACAAAGCACACCAAAAGCAGAACCTGAACAGCCATGTGCACTGCTCCATTAAAGTCAATGGTACTTTGGCAACCTGTGTTTGAAATGTGTTTGAAACACATGCCAAAAGCAGGAAACAATGTCCCTGGTCATTAGTCTTTACTAAAGCCACAGGCCCCCAATAAGGAATGAATCATATGTATATATTTTACCTTAAAGAGGAGATTTACCCACTAATTTAATGTCTCCCAATATAGTTACTTTAAAAAAATGCCAACTGATAAGATTATCAGGGTGCCTTTTTTCGTTCACAACCAAAATTTCAAGCACTCAAATGGCTGGCATCATCCACGATCACATGTGCAGCACTATGGCAACTGCAATCCAAATAGAGACCAAGAAGGCACCTTCCTTGGCTGTAAGGGATAGGAGGTCATGGTTCTCAAGCGCTTTATCTCAAAAGCTTTTTTTTCTTTTTTAAACACGTGGAAGGCTACATAAAAGACTCCATAACATCCCAGCGACCCAATATGTACTGGTTTGTGATACATACAATCATATGATTACATACCTGAAGCACTAAACCATTCTTATCTTCCAGCTGCCTCATTAAGAGTTCATTCTCCTTGTTAAGCTCACCATGTAACTTTTCAGAGTCTCTAGTAAACTGTTCCTCAATCTCTTGCCTAGCAGACTTCTTCTCTGTGATTAACTCTTCCTAGAGAAAGATCAGTGCCACTATGTTAAGAATTTAAAGACACATTGAGAATTACACACGTCTTAACCATAAAAAGCCCTTACACATTTCTACATGCACATTACTGATGTACATAACTGGATGTACTTGTGAGCTTTGTATTCACTTTTCATTATGCAAAGAAAGAACCCTTTCAAATAAGGATTTTCCATGTTACCGATGCATGTACAATGCCCATTTCAATGGGCATTGCTTAACGTATACAAAACTGCAGCATGTCCTATTTTAAATGGAATAGGCACTAATGAGTTCATTTATGCTGCAGGCGTACCACTGCTGTAAACACAAAACAAAACTCCAAACAAAAAACGCGCACCACATGAAATGCTATGCCTGTGCCTTCATCATGATCCCTAATGCCAGTGTTTTTCCAGGTATATATTGTACACTTGAAATTTTCAATAACATGCTCAGGGCAAGACAGGGATGGACAAATCAATATGGAATTTAGGCACCAGCTTGTTCAATCCAGGAGCCAACATGAGTTTTAGGGACCAGCTCTATTGAGAAAACTTCAAATGTTAGCCGCCAGCTGTAACTTAAGGAGCATTGGCTACCTGGCATTTGTCCAGTCCTGCTGTAAGAGATCTACATTATACCTTTAATTGAGCAATTTGTTGTTCCAGTAACATTTCAGACTGACATTTCAACAATTCAATCTCTTCTTGTAATTGCAAAAGTTGATTGGATTTGTTCTCTAGTTCTGTAGACAAAGCCTGGAGCTGGTTGTTAAGTTCTGTAATAACAAGCTGAAAAAAAATGTGACAAGTCAGTTTTACCAATCTCGCGTCAAATGTAGGCAACAATATACATATAAAAAAGGTGTTCCATCGTAAAATAAGGAGGGATGCACAGATACTTTTCGAGTACCAGTGCCGATACTTGGCATTTTCATGAGAACTACCAGGGTTGCAGCTGGGACTTGGCTCTGGCGCTCCACCACTGTCCTGAAATCATTAGTCTGTATTGTTTTAGAAAAACGGTCACATGACAATAACCAAAATGTATCAGTACTCGTACTTGTAAGTACACGGCAAGTACCAGTACTCGCAAAACTGGTATCTGTGCATCCCTTTATTTATATTAAAACAAAAGCATACATTAAAACAGAGATGTACAAATCCCAGGAGCTCCGTGTGCTCCTTACAAATGACAGCTGCCTCCTATTTTTGAAATTTGCTCTAGTGTAGTCTTGGAGTTCAAAAGTATCGGTACATGTACTCGTACCTGTACCGAGTACTGTACTTGGTATCTGTGCAACCCTAAAAATAAAGTGTAGATTCATATGTGCTGCCATCAACAATATATGAATTTATCCTTTGCAAATTCATGGTTTCTTTGGAATTACAGTAGTGTGAAAGAAAGTACACCCTCTTTGAAATCTATGGTACGAAGTATCAGGACATGATAAAAAATCATTTGGTCCTTAAAATTCTGTAAATACTGTCCAACCTCAGATGAACACCACATGCCATATTACACTGTGCCAGTATTTTGGAAACAAAGCCGAAATGGAGAATCCATGTGTGAAAACTAAGAACTCCTTCAATAGCTTGCAGAATCACCTTTAGTAGCAATAACTTGAAGTAATTGTTTTCTGTATGACTATATCAGTCTCTCGCATTGTTGTGGAGGAATTTTGGCCCACTCTTCTTTACAACGTTGCTTCAGTTCTTTGAGGTTTGCGGGCATGTGTTTATGCCGCTCTCCCAAAGGTCATGTCACAGCATTTCAGTCGGGTTGATGTCTGGAATTTGACTGGGCATTGCAACACCTTGTTTCTTTTCTTGTTTTGCCATTCTGTTCCAGCTTTGCTGGTGTGCTTGGGATATTTGTCCTGTTACAGGTCTCAGGTTCGGCCAAGCTTTAGCGGTTAAGCAGACAGCCTCAAGTTTTACTCTAGAATACTTTGGTAAACAGAGAAGCTCATGGTTGACTCAATGGCTGCAAGGTGCCCAGGTCTGTGGCTGCAAAACAAGCCGAAATCATCCCTCCACCACAGTGCTTGGCTTGACAGTTGGTATGTTTGTACTGATAAGCTGCGTTTGGCCATAACGCACAGCACCACATTTGGCGAAAACCAAACATCTCTACTTTGGTCTCATCAGTCCAAAGGACATTGTTCCAGAATTCTTGTGGTTTGTTCAGATGCAAACCTAAGCCACACTGCCATGTTATTTTTAAAAAGGCTTTCTCCTGGCAACCATTCCAAACAAACCATACTTGTTCAGTTTATTTCTAATTGTACGAGTTTTAACATTTAACATGCTAACCGTGTCTGAGATACAACTCTTGGATTGGCAACTTGAATGGTCTTGAATGTTTTCCACTTGTGAATAAATCTAAGGGTTTGTTCACATCATGTCCAGACCAGATCTTAATGGGTTCCTGCTGCAAACAGGCATATGCAGTTTTGACGCTTTCCAGCAATTTTGGTCTGGACTCTATGCAAATATACAGTCCAGACCAAAATTTGGCATACTGGACTTTTTTTGAAAGCTCAAATTCAACGCAATGGTGTGAACTGCACTCACAAAAACCATTAGACTATAGGGAGATGCGTTTTTTGATCAGCCAAAAATATACTCTGGGTGCACTGGATAGACCAAAGAAAAGTACAACAAATTGGAAGTGTTGTGTGCCCAATGCAAAAGGCAGGTAGTGATGGCAATCTGGTCAAATGGGGAGGTTCATATATGCATACCTGAAGTCCACCGAGGCCAGGAAATCATTCATGGTGGAAGAAGGCATAACAAAGTGGGAGGATTCTCTTCAAAACCTTTGACCACACAGGAACCCGAGAATCTTTAAATCCAAAATGGGGTGAACTCATCCCTTGGGCTTGTAGCAGTGAACAGTTTGGAATAGAATCCCTGCAAAATGCACTGCTTAAAAGGGACAGGGACTACATATTTTTATTTGAAGTCGATAAATCAGAATTTAGGTGCCATTCAGACTGAAATCAGGAAAACTTCTTACAATTTCAGTAAGTTCAGTTGAACCCTTGTGAGTGTGTGTCTGTGTTCCAGTCCAGTCATTAAGAGCACCTGTACCCCTGTATGTTATGGTCTCTGAGGAATGTAATACTCTCTGCTGATACCGCTTTAACAGAAAAGAAGCCCCTACGGCCCTTGTGGTTAAATCTTTCTTCCTTCAGTTTTAGGGAAACTGAAGTATGAGAAGCTCTGGCTCAGTAAAAGAAAAAATCAGCTGGTTTGAAACTAAACTTCAAAATGACTGGGAACACCAGCAACAGATCAGCTTTGGCTCCAATATAACTACATTTTGCTTTACTATCCCTAATCACAAATAAATGGCTAGATTTCCTGTTGCTCAAAAGACCAGACAGTATTTGGACCTACCCATAGCCACTGAATACCTGCACATGAAATATTTTGTAAATATGGCAGAGCAAGCAAGTGTAAGCATGAACGCTACGGCATTAATAACTGCATTTAAACATTCTTTACATAGCTCAAAATTACAAATCATTGAAAAGACATAACATTCCTTTAACTGACCTCCTGCTTCTGCCGCTCGCCTGCCAGCTTCATCAGCTCATCCTGCAATGTCTGAGTTTGCTGCTGAACCTCCATCTTGTGCAGGTCACTCAGTTCTTTAAAAGAAAGCTTGTTGTGCTCTTCCATTCTAAGAACCTCTTCTCTCAGAGCATCTAAAGTCTGGTTTTTATCATACTCTAGCTGTAAACGCTGCTGGTCGAGTTCATCTTTAAGGTCATCCTGAAACATATAAAACAATCAGTGTTAACATACTTGAAAATTAAATGCAAACCTCCGCCTAACTAAAATAATTCTCCAGCACTTAAATCATTTACAGCAGTGAAATCCGTCTCTAGTTAATCTGTTACCTTGGTCTAGAATCATTGATGATTTTCATCTTAAGTGCGTACTGTGCGGTCAGCATCTACTTCCTGCACTGAGATGAGATGCTAGTCCTGCAGCCCCAAACTTTATGACTTGCTAGAGTAATAATGTTGCAATTTGGACACTGGTGGAGAGGAGACTGAGGAAATTATTTCTCCTGCCTGCAGCACACAGATGACATCTCACCCTAGATAATGTCAATAAGCCGGTGCTTACAGATTGCTTTTAAACCCCTATTTTGTCATGGTTGTCCGTGCCATAAGGACCCATGACGGAATAATTCAGCCACGGGTCCTAGAACTATGGGGAAAAACACTGACCCCATAGTTCTCCTTTAAGGGTTTAATCTTCCATCATGCACTAAGTAACATGTATATGTATGTGTCACATCAAATTAAAGCCCTTTTTGTCCTCTAAAAAGTAGTATATAATATGTGTTGGTGCAATAAGCAAGAAAGATGGAAATTGCGGTTGAAAACACAGTCCTTAACTGAAAGACAAGCATCTGAAGCTTGATCCTTAAGGGGTTAATAAAAGGCAGAGGTGACCACACCTCATTTAAGTACAGTATCATTGTACAATCTGAGCTTGTAATCCTTGACTATGACACTCTGGACAAAGGCATCTGGACTGTCCGGGACACAGGAGGCAGGGGAGGCTGACAGATGACGTCCTAAATTGAAAATATGGGGACAACCCTTTAGGAGTAAGAGGGCTTGCTCCCAGGTTTCTCCCAGGGCCAGGACTTACAACAAAATAGAGTGCCTGGTTTAGATTTGGAATCCAAGGCTTGGAGAGATGAAAGGAATCCTTGTTAATGGAGGGAGCACAGGCTTTAGCTGCCGGAGGCTTCTGTGATAAGTAGGCGCTCTCCCCACCCCCTTCAACCACCTATCGCCTACAGTCATGGAAGGTGCCATCTTTACTTCTATCAGGACCACACTACGCAGGGAAGCACTGACTAGGAAGTGCGGCTTCCACGTATTTCGTGTTGTGCAACAAAAACCTCTGTTTTAACGCAAATTGTTAGACTGTGTAATTTTGTTTTTGCAAATTATAAATAGATTTGTGTAGTTGACATTTTTGTTTGTCTAACTGAAAGCAAATCAAGCACTGCTTCCACGAGGACACGGTTTGTGTTCCTCAATTTGGATGAGATGACAGCTGAAAGGTGAGGGTGTAAAGAAGTATGAAGTACTGGTTTAGCTCAAGTTGAGGAAACACAAACTGAAAAGACTAAAACATTCCTTTTAAAGGCTACTCAGCCAACTGAATCCAATAAAACAAGTATTTGCAAGCATGTGTTGTGCATCTATACCAGGGCTTAAAATTTCCACTCGCCTGCTCGCATTTTGCAAGTAAAAATAAGGAAGTGGAAATTTGAGAGCAGAGCAGCTCCTGTCAGTTCTGGCTTCCTTCGGCCTGAGCTCTGACAGTTCTGAGCTCCAGCGAAGGAAAGAATGTCTGTGAGCAGCATAGATGCTTGGCTATCTGGGTGTGATAGTGAGGGCTCTATCTGCCCATCTTGGACAGGCAGATCGTACTTGCGATCATCGCAAGCCCTGTGATTGCAGAGACACCAAGATGATTGCAGTGCTGAGTGGGCACACCGGCCCGTGCGGCATTCGTTTTCCAACCACGCCACCAACCCGCCAAAAATCGTACGATTTTCGGCAGGTTTTCCAGCGTGCTTGGAAGACAAAAGTCGTACGACCTTACAGTAGAAGCGGTCGCACGCTGCCCATATACCTGCCCATACACACATCTTCATATGGTAGTGGTGAAAATTATCAGTGCCCCCCCAGTTTTGACTGTGGTATCTTATCTGCACCCTGTTAACATAATATAAAGCTAAAGCTATGTTATAATTGCTGTTTTTTATATTTTGGACTCTTTATTCTAGAGAAAAATTTAATTTCATAAGCTTTAAGGGGGGCGTGGTTGGGGTGGGGGCGTGGTTGGGGTGGGGGCGTGCCTGGGTGGGGTTGGAGGCGGACCTGGGCAAGGTTTGGTGGGACAACTGGTGGAGAGTAAGGTTTTTGCCTGGCTAGTAGGTCTAGACTTGAAATTTTAAGCCTTGATCTACACGATAAATTTGAGTTGGAACCTCAAACACTAAGAAATAGGTAAAAGTAGGCTGTAGCTTCAAAGGGCTTTCTAGGACAAAACGACAGAGTGCAGTCATCCACAAATGTCAGTGGATTCCAAAAGATCATTAAACCAAATTCAAACCATGGATGAAACTATAGCTCACTATTGAAGAACCCATTAGCTAGCTACTCCAAGTACTTGATTGGTAAAATCCAAAATTACTATAGTAGGTAGGCTTATTACGACAGGAGAGACTCTCTGCCTCCGTCAAACATGCTTTTCCCTGTCAGCACTTTTCCCCCCTTCTCTGGGTGTACACCGAGCAGCGCATGCAGAGCACATTGTATTGTCTCAACACAATCCTGCGTCAGGGTAGAGTAACTCCCATGCATAAGCACTGAGTTAGAGATGACTGAAGACTCTGAAACCATAGACTGACCAGGTAAAGATGAAAGCGCCAGCAAGGGAGGGTAATGTGTGATATAATGTACATATACGCTGTGCATACTTAGACCCATGGTAATATGCTCATTCTGTCTGTATACGATTATGGACACCCGCACAGATGTGCAGTTCGGATGAGCGTACGACAGCGTACGGCCACACGCACGGATGTGCAGTTCGGATGAGCGGACTCCCATAGAAAAGAAAAGCCTGCTGCATGCAATCACACGCAGCACCTGTCCTTCCCAGGAGTGTCCCGATACGGCCATGCACGCCGCACAGATCTGTATGGGCCGGCTCTTAGCAGTGTGAATGAGGCCTAAGGATCAAAAAGGTTTACCGCCCAGATGCACTAATTTCATGCAATGCATCATTCTTGTTAGCATTAGTAAACAGCAAAAACATGCATGATGAAAATTCACCGACCGTGTAAAATGACAATGGAGCCAATTTACTTATTTTGAAGAGAGACTATTTACTTTGCTTAGCAAAGTGAACATTCAGAGTTTAGTATATAAAATAGGTCACACACACACACGATGTCCAACTCCAAACCTTTACAAGGTTTTACCATTAATCTATAAACTAGCATAGGCATCACTCGGTCAAGTGGTTTCCCCCTAAAGAAGTCACAGATCACTCATCTAGCCAACAAACACTGCAAGAAGTTAAGCATAAAAAAAAAAAAAAAAAAAAAAAGGAACAAAAAAAAAAAAAATTTTAAAAAAAAAAAAAAAAAAAAAAAAGGTACAATAAGACAAAAGTTGCGTTACTATGACAAAGTTCAAAAAAAAAGAAAAAAAATCAAGGGTCAATTTACTGAAGCATAATCTATGCAGAATTTTTGGCACAAAAATGGTATGAAAGTCATGTTTTGAAATGTCAGTTTAGAAAAGATTGAAGCACAGGTCGTCACTTCTTAATAAACTACTAGCTTGAGGCTAGTGATCATTGTGAGCTTCAGAAAAGGAGTCTATGGGGGCGAGAGGTAAAAATTCACGAGCAATAAGGCTTGCAAGCTTAAAGATCTATTAGAGATATTTAGATTTGTTTGTTGATCACGTTTAACGGAAATCATTAGGAGACAAAAAGTGAATCAACTCCAGTTCTAGTGACAGGGAGTTCTGCATTCCTAAGTCCTCATGCATATGGCCATAATGAAATGACGAATGATCTATGTAGGATGATGCTGGCATAAAGATCCTGTGTAAACAACGTAAGAAGGGCCCGCTCACACCATAGCAGTGACAGAAAGTATGTGCTCTGTTCACATCACAATGTGGGTGTGCTGGGTGGTGTACTGCTAAAATCCAGACAATCTGCATTTTTCCGCAGCACAGTGGATCCCACTGCAGGTCACCTCATGGCAGCCCGTCACACTGCTGTGTGGGACATTGAATTAGCATACACATAGTACTACAGGAAAACCGTGAACAGTGTCAGCATCAGTAGTGTTCCATACACCAGAGCTGCCACAACACACTAGTACGCCTGCTAAAACGCAGTGCTTTAGCAGATGGGCTAGTGTGAAAAAACCCAAAATGGTTCAAATGGTTTGCTTGTACATGTGTATAGATGGGTAAATGCCCATACAGCATTTAAACAAGTAAAATTCTGTTTATATAACCTCCCATAAAATGTTTGCATATACGCATAAATTACTGACCTCAGACACAGATTTTTCTGCTTTGATAAATCTGGACAGAGCGCAGGTTTACTGATCTGATCTTTGCACAAAACGTAAAGAAAAAAAAAATGCAGCACTGATAAAACCGTAGTGGTTTTTTTTTTTTTTACAGCCGTGTGCATGAGCCCTAAATAAAAAAAAGTAATGCCACCTTCTAATAAAATGGATGCATTTTATATTTACATGGATTAACTTTTGAATTTCCCACACCTGAACATGCACAAGAGGCTTTATATAATAACAGGAACCATGGCATCAATGAACATGCTGTGAAATTCTACCCCAGCTAGGGCTGCTTAGAGTGAACACACCTGGCTAAGCTTTCAACAAAGGCTTAAGAAATGGAGCCAGTTTAAATTGCCATAAAACAAAAGCCAAATGAACACAACTGTAAAGCACAACACTGCAACATAACCATCTGAAAAAACACTCACCACACCCTCTTAAGATTCCATGGTTGCAATTTAAATATAGGGGAAAAAAAAGTACATAGACATGTGGTTTACTTACATTTATCTCACATTACGACTAAAATAAAACATATATACTGTAAGTTGTATATGTGTATGGTAGTAAAATAATTCACCTGATGAGCAATTTCTAACTCCTTTGACATGGCTTGAAACTTCTCTAGATGGACAGAAGCAAGTTCCTGCCTAAGATGTTGTAGTTCCTGTTTTTGCTGCTGTAGCCACAGCATCCTGGCCTTCTGCAGCCTTTCCTGAATTTCCCCCTCTTTTTCTTGTAGGCGATGTGACAAACAAACCTCCAGCTCTCCCAAGGCACGTGAATGCTCATCTCTGATCTTCTGAATCTCAGTAAGGTACGACGACTCCAACGTGTCCAGTTTTATAAGGTGGGAGGCCTCTATGCCTTGGATATGAGCTTCGTGCTCCAAGTCACGAGACTGAAGTTCTTCTTGGTGTCTCTGTAGCAACTCTGATAAACAAGACAGCAAGTTCTGCTCCGGATAGCGCTCTAGATCTGATGTCTGAAAATAAATATCCCCATCCAAATGGTGATGCGGTGTAGATATATTTTCCTGTAATTCAGATACACAGGTGCCAGATTCCCATCTGTGTCTCTCCTCCAATATCAGCGAGTTCAGATCTTCCTCCTGTGTCAGGAGGATGGAGATTAGCTCACTGGGCTTGCCCTTAGAGACTAAGCTTGTTTGTTGATCTCCCAAGAGATTTCCCCAAATGTTGTTTTTTTCCTCATGAAACTGCTTTGTCCTAGAGAAAAACAGAAAATCTCTATTTACCATGCTAGAAATCAGCGAAAAGTGGCAGTATAATACATACCATGCATTTATAAACTGTGTAAACAAAACAGGGAATTCAAATCACATGTTAATAATTAGATCAGGGGTAAAGTTACACAATAACCATGTTCTCCATGAGGTTAGATTTTCATGCTACAAATAAAGGAAATGGATTAAAAGGACAGTCACACCTTTTATACTTTTGGATGCCAAAGCAGGTGCAAGAACCATTTGGTTGTTAAACTGCACATAATTAGATCCAGTAATTAAAGAGTTTAAAAATCAGAACTTTATAGTTCTATTGGGGAAGAAGATAGGATATTGTTTCAGACGTCTTGTGGTTTGTTTAGATGCAACTTGGCAAACCTAAGCCGCGCTGCCGTGTTCATAAGAGGCTTTCTCCAGGCAACCCTTCCAAACAAACCATACTTGTTCAGTCTATTTCTAATTGTATGGTCATTAAATTTTAAATATTTAACATGTTACCTGAGATGTAACTCTTACTTGCAGGTAGCTGGGACATCCACTTGAGGAAAGATTGGAATGGTCTTCAATATTTTCCAGTTATGAATAATCTTCCTCACTGTAGAAAGGTGGGGCTTTAAATTGTTTAGGAACGGCCTTGTAACCCTTCCCAAATTGATTGACAGCAACAATTGCTTCTCTAAAGATCATTGCTGATGTCTCACCTTCTTGGCATTGTGTTAACATACACCTGAATGCTCCAGACCAGCAAACTGCTAAAACTTCGGTTTTATAGAGTTGGTCACACTTTCTTATGATCAACTAATCAAGGGCATTTGAATAGCAGCACCTGGCTGCTACTTAAGGTGCCCATACACTGCACGATTCTCGTACGAGAATCGCGGGAAATCCCGCAATCGTACGAGAATCGTGCAGTGTATGGAAGGCGTGCAACCGTTTCTAATGTACGGTCGCATGACTTTTGCATTTCGAGCATGTCGGAAAACCAGCCGGGAATCGTACGATTTTCGGCTGGTTTTTACATGATCGAGAGATCACTGCCGAACGGGCCAGTGTGCGCACGTGCACACTGCCCGTTCAGCATTGCAGTCATCGGAAGCCCACCCCTCAAGGGGGGCGGGCTTGCGATGATCGCAAGTACGATCTGTCTGTCCAAGATGGGCAGATCGTACGTTTGTTTAAGTACTTTACAACCCTCGCAAGACAAAAGTCTTGCGAGGGTTGTAGAGTGTATGGGCACCTTTAGCCTCTTAATTCCTATGGAAGCAGTGTGTACTTAAGGGGTTATTCACAAAAGGCATTTGAATAGTGTGTGATAGATTGTTCTAGATTGTTCACTTCTCCTTTGGAGAAGGCAGGAGAAGTGAACAATATAGGCCAAAATAGCTGATTTGGGAAAATTCTCCAATTCAGCTCACTTTCCAGTTCAGCTATGTTGTCCTAGATTGTTCACTTCTCCTGCCTTCTCCCAACTCCTCACCCTTTTGTGAATAACCCCCATAAGTTTTTTGCACATAACTTCCCTATTTTGGCTTTATGTTTATTAAAATAAACTGGTTTAATATGTTATATGTTGTTAGTCATCGGAGGTTGAATGAACCCAATTTTAAGACCTGCTAAGGACCAGATGATTTTTATAATGTCCTGATGCATAAAACCATAGAATACAAAAAAGGTGTACTTTCTTTTTCACACGATTGTAGTTACAGAAAGAGAAAACATTAGAAACACAGCTTAATACAAGCAGGTTACCTATTCTGTGCTTCTTTCAGTGCTTTCAAAACTCGTGCTTTTTCTGCATACAGCTGTTTGACAAGTTCCTTCAGCTCACTCGCCATTTGATCTTTGATGCTTTCCAGCCTCAGGGCATTCTGTTCATGCAGAATTAAAAGCTGCTCTTCCTCCGCATCACCAAAGCTTGTTCTGGATTTTTCCCCAGATAACTGCTCAACCAAGGTGCTAAGAGTTGCATCTGTCTGGCATATTTTGTCAACCTGCAAAAATAAAAAAACACAACATTTAACCAGCCTAGATCATGGCATTTCAAGAAGCACATATACTTGTAGTACGGGAAAAAACGCATTCTGACAACAGTGAATGGAAATAAAAATATAGTCGATATTGAATCAGTAGACATAAAAAATAAATAAAATAAAAAGTGCAAATAGAAGTACAATTAGAGTTTGCTCCCAAATAGTGCTCGAATTATTAATCAAAAAAGTCCACTTGTGATGTGAAATATTGCTTATTTTGCGTTACACAGCAAACAACTGCTGTGCCATCTCTTATGAAAAGTAAGCAAAGTCATAAATGCACGGTTTACAAAATCCTCCAAAAATGCAGATAATTCACCTTAATATGCCTCTAGACAAGGTTATCCCCCTATTTAGGTATCAGCTCACTTTTCAGTTCAATCTGACCAGAACAGCAGCCCAGGTTTATTCGCATTACTTGTTTAAAGCGCTGCGCAAACTGTTGGCGCCATATAAATCCTGTATAATAATAACAACTTATCTTTGCACTAAGTGTTGGATATAAATTTAAACAGTACTATAAAAAGCTTAGCCAACTTCTTCAGAGATGAGGAGGGGTACCATTTTCCAAGTCTAACTTCCAACACTCCCATAAACCAGCAGTGTCCCCCCATTTCCCCACATCTTACAAAATAAATTGCTGCATCCACTTATCATAACCATTGATAGCACACATACCTTGCCTGAATATTTTAAGTCTACATCTCCAGCACTGCTTGAAAGCTCCATAATCTTCACTTCTGTATCGTTTGGTTCTTCCATAGCAGATAGTTTCCCCAATGTCTCTGTTCTTTCATGACATTCAGCATTCTCATTGCTCTCTTGATGCATCCTTGCCACCTCTGCAAAAAAAAAGAAAGTTGCCAAAACAAACCAAGATGTTAAATAAAACATAACATATGTATTTTGTGAGCAACATCTTTAAATGTTGTAGATTACAATGTACAGACTACTATGATTTTAACTCCATCTGTCCACATGAAGGCTCGGATCAAACCTGTACCTGAGATAAGGAAGCAAATTACCTCAAAACAGTGATAACATGACACATGCAACTAGTCCCACAGAACAGTAGTCATCACATTTATAACACTTATAAATACAAATCAGAATTCATACATTTAATTAAAAAAGCAGCAAGGTTTTGATTAGAACCTGTACATTGTCCGTTTTGTAAATTGGGTTCAGTTTACAATTGCACACTATGTTGGTGTTCCATGTTCTCAGTGTGACTCAATGAGCTGTGAAGGCATTCAGCAACAGTCTGACATCAGGGCATTAGTCCGACATCATTTTTGACATCTGCTAAAAATCTTATTTACGGTAAAAAAAAAAGTAATAGGCAGCATACCATGGCTGTCACAACTTAACACGAGGGAAAAAACATCTACCAAAAATACTACCAGTACAATTCCCTCAAGTTTGTCCCGGATGTATTTAGTAGCTTTGGCTAGAGGTAGTTTCCTTCCAGCACAGCCAGAACCGTGACTATAATATATGATGTTTTACAGCTTCTAGGAGATACTACAACACCCCAACCCTTGCTGGCTGAAGTATGAAGCAGCGGCCTCAAGTCTCCTGTCAGCACATGTGTACTACAGAAGAGCCCCACAGGTTGCTAGCTCTGGTCCTCACGCTTGCAGTCTCTGTGATGCTGTAAGATTTCTGAAAACCAGCTTTAAAGTAAACCACTCTTTAGAGAAACCTTGCTGAGCTTGATCTTTTCAATAAATCCTGGTTGCCTGGCTTGTATGCTGATCGAATGACTCTAATACTTTGGATAGCCAAGCTTAAACTTGGAACAAATATACAAATAAGAATCAAGTCAGAATATTTGTTTTCAGTTAGTAACTAAAAGCATCAAAGTAAGAATTTAGTCATAGCCAGGCAACAAGCATTTGCAGAAAAGAAAGTCTGAAATGGCAGTCTCCAGGTTTCGCTTGGAAAAGGATTTCCCAAAGTCATCTCACCTATGATGTGCTCTTCAGACAATTTGTCTCTTAGCTGTTCCAGCTCCAAACTGTGTCTTTTCTTTAAAGTCTCAATTTCATAAGTGTATTTGTCAGAAAGATCTGTCTTCATGCTCAGTAAATCCTCCTGATACTGATGAGAGAGGGCAGCATGGAGATTTTCTATCTCCTGCCTGTGCTTCTCCTGAGACTGCTGCCGAAAAGAAGATAACTCTTCCTGCAAAACAAAGTGAATAAACGGAAATACTAAATCATGTGAACAGTAACCGTTTACATTAATTTGCTGCTATGCAATTAACTTACCTTGTGCTGCACCAGCTGTTCTGTCAGGTGAAGAAGGAGATCAGTCTTCTCACTTTCAAAGGACTCATCCAAGGTCAAAACAGAGCTGTAGCAGTAGAATAAAACAAGAGATTGGCCTCAAGGAAATTATCAGCCCACATAAGTCATAGGAGAGAATTCATAAAAACAGGTTGAAAAGCTCTCTCATAGTAACCAGGTGTAAGCCAATAACCCCAACTACACCCAACAATCTGGTCTAATTTATAAAACCAAACCCGGTTTATTAAATCAGGTTCAATTTTCACTTCAAGGACAGAAAATTAATTCACAAGCATAGAGCAAGGACAAACCTGTTCAGTGTACTAATTTCTTCTTTCCCTTCATAGCTCATTTCTCTCAGACGCTGATGCATTAACTCCAGATTCTCTCTATAGGTCTCCTCTGCTGCTCTGGACTTTTGTTCAAAGTAGATTCTCAGGCCCTCCATATCCTTCTCATGTGCTGCGTTAAGCTGCTGTTTCTGTTTATAAAAGTCCTGCTTCATCCTCTCAATCTCTTCAAGATGCAGAGACCGAGCAATAAGTTGCTCTTTCAATTCTACAATAGGCATGTTGGAAGAGATTTTTAGATAACTACACATATTAAAGCTGAATAGTATGCAGATAAAACACACAAATGTAATGCCATTTATACCTGTAGTGGATGTGAACTCAAAATGTTAAGATTTGCCAACTTACTGGGAAAACAATAATTGTGCCTAAAGGGTACCTGGCAAAGTGTACGTTTGTCTTTAATTCTTCCAGATAAATAACAGTGCACTCCATGGTATGCAAGAATGCCTAGGCACTCCAGCCTTATAGCCGTCTATTAACATTGCGAGATCATCTAAGGCACTGTTCCCTTAGACTGCTAGCTCCTGGAGATTTGGAATACGATTTTGTGATGTCAGTGCTATGCTGCACACTGTTGCTCTTGCTGGAGGCTCTGACATGAGGAAGCAATAGTCCAGCCTGTAACAAGATGGATACCTTCACAGAACAATACATGGTATTACACCATGTATTGAGGAAAGCGCAATAAAGCTCATGAGGAAAGCTGCTGAAAGACAGGAGGGAAATATTGGAGACTAATCTTTAGAAATAGGGAGTGTATTTATTTATAAACCAACAAATGTACCTGAACCAATCCTAATATCAGAGTCCTGCGATCCTCTGCACAGTAGCACTCGCAATAGGAGGCAGAGGGGCAGCACTAGGCATTAATCAGGCTCTACTACATGCATGTGTGCATACAGGGCTTGACATACACCGACAGTGAAAGTGGTTGCACTATCTGGCAAAGGTATGTGAAACACAAAATTGGCAGTACAAAAATTAAATCTTTCTACAGACCAAACATTTATGTCTATTTCAACTGCATGTTTCCTTGGAGTTCAGATTTAAGAATCAAGCATGAATTTAATTCAACTACCACCATGTCTGCAAATATTCTTACCATGCAGTTCTTGCCGACTTGCTCGAGAGCTATCAATCTGAGACCATAAAATTTGCATTTCTTGACTTGAGTGAATTTGCAGTTCCTTGGGAATGACATGCACTGAAGCTACCTAAACAATGCAAACAAAAATCAGAAATTCCATATTTTTAGAACACAAAATATATGTCAGACTATGAAGTGTTACAAAACTAGGAGCATAGTTCAGCTCTAAAAACAAACATAAGACTAGGAATTGTGTACCTGCATGTGTATCTGTTGTCCCAAATCAGCATTCTGGTCCAGCAAAGCTAAAGCATGTTGTTGGTGTAGAACATTGCCTAAAGCTGTTGAATTACAGTTAAAGTCAGTACAGATGGTAACAAATCTGAAGAATGCAAATGAAGAAGGTAAAAACTAAAGTGTTTATCCCATACAGAGATGTGGATAAATAATGAGCCAACAGTTAGAAAAGGTCAAGACAAGTCTGGTAAAGTACAGTTACGTAAAGAAGGTGTCAATGGGTCTAAACACCTTGGCAAAGTGTAGTCTTAGTTAAGCAAGATTAACCAGCATCAGCAAGCATTCAACAATCTTCAGGAAACTTTCTTGAAGCCTTTAAAGTGACACTAAACTCAGGAGTTAAATCTTATAAATACATTCAAGTACCCCGACTAGGAACAAAAATGTATCTTATTTGTGTATCACTCGGCTGTAGATCCCCAAATCATCTCTGAATTCATGACGACTGTCCTTCCTTCTAGAGCAGGGGTGTCAAACTCAATTTAATCGTGGGCCGCATCAACATTTTGGTTGCCCTCACAGGAATCTGCAAGACTATATAAATGTATCTAATCTTTATCATAATTGCCTCTGCATTCGATTATCACTGGTTTTAGTAATAACGTAATACCTAGATCTGAAAGTAGAAGTCTAGGAAATGGCCTGGTGGGCCAGATTCGGTTTCTGGGCCTTGAGTTTGACACATGTTCTAGAGGGTGGCTACTTTTATTGCCCATGGTCCCGGTGTGTTGTAAAGTAGCTACTGCTCCAAGCTCACTCCCGTGATGGAATACAATCTCATGTTTAGTTTACTCATTTGTATTGAGATTGTAGTCTATCACGGGAGTGAGCTTGGATTGGTGGCTACTTTACACATACAGGGATCATGGGGAACAAAAGTAGCCCCCCTCCAGAAGGAAGGACAGTGTCAGCACCAATTCAGAGATGATTTGAGGATCTACAGCCGAGTGATACAAAAATAAGCTACAGTTTTGTTAATAGTTAAGGTACTTGAAATGTATATTAAGATTTAACTCCTGGAGTTTAGTGTCATTATAAAGCTGAACACTGGGATAACCAAATATTGTCTAACTACAAGTGGCATGTGTATTCCTACACAAAGGACATTACGATTCAAGCATTCCACACTGGGTTACGGCACAGATCTGTAGGAAACTGACTGTGCATGAGCTTCCTGTAATAAAGACCAGCCACTGATGTTCTAGCTCCTTGTGTAGGGTGACTGGTCTTGTGTCCGCCCCTCCTGTAGTTTTCTGTAGGCAGCCTGAGGTGGGAGGACCTGCTGGGTCACACACACAGCTCTGCATAGGCTTTGTGTAGCACAGCAATTATGTCACCACTACTTTTATGACAGAATATCTGCTTTTTAAGAGGCATTTGGTGGACGCAAAATGGATTTATATCCTTTGCCGCTATTGAGGAATATATTTAAATAAAACCTTTTGTGCCCAGAGTTTAACTTTAAGTATGGTTTTGCCTCAGTCTGGGAGTGATGAATACAGATCTTGAACGGAGATGAAGTATTTGACAGAATTAGCAAGCTTCTGAGCCCATTCACACCGCACTATTCATACAGAGTATAACACTGGTGTGCACTGTGAGGGAGCGGTGTGATACATTGTTATTACACATCACATGGATTTACTTTTTTATAACTCTATAGAAGTGTCAAAAAAAAGAAATTTCACTTATTTTTATGCTTGATCATGTATTGCCATGTGGTGTAGTGCATTGAAACACGCAGTGCAAAGACACAGCATGTCCTACTTTTGTTCAGCGCACACCACCGCAGCACATTTGAGTGAAGGGAACTAATAGGACATAAGAAAAATTACCCTATGTGTTAGGACTGCATTGGGAAAGGATGCCAGAGCAGTGCAATGACTATGGTGTGAATGGGCCTTCAGCACATATTGAAGCTTGCTGTGGCCTCCTTAAAGATATGTTTAAAGCTAGAGACAGCATTCCCTTTCAGAGTTCAACATCCCAGACTGGGGCTGAGGGATTCTTTAATGGTTGCAAGAAAGTTGCCTTAAATCTTGACATAGATGGCATTTACATAGAAAACTGTAAAAGTAGACCAAGTACTATACGTGTTTCACCTTGATCATCGTCCTTCAGTTTCAAGCTCTTCTGTGCATAATGCTCGTATAGAGTCTCAATCTCTTTCTGATAATGCTCCTGTATTTGCAGTATATTTGCTGAATGTCCCTCAATCTCTTCAGAGTGTTCATCCATGTATTTTTTAATCTCCTGAAAATTATGAGTTACTAAATGGTTTAATTGTTTAGAAAGGTGCTCCAGCTCATTCTTCCATTCCATTTTTTCTAGTTTGTAACATTCCAATAGTGTCTTCACCTCTTTGTCATGCTGTTCTTTAAGCCGTCTTAAATCTTCAGAATTCTCAGGTATTAATTTAAGTTCCTCTGGATTTTTAGGTTTCTCAGACATATCTTGGGTCTTCTGGAAACTTTGACTATTCTTACTCTCCCACTGATCCTTTTCTTTTGCATGAAGCTCCACAATTTCCTGCATTTCTCTGCTATGCTGGTTTTGAATATCCAAGATAGTCTTTGAGAATTCTTCTTGAAGCTGCTCTAACATCTTTGAATTCTGTTCTTCTTTCTGCAAAGAAACCTGTAAAAGTTCTTCTCCAATACGTTTTAACTCATGTGAATGCTGATTAACTAGGAGATCAAGCTCTTGAGAGCATTGGTCTCGCTCTTTCTCCCACTCAACCCGTTCCCTATGATGTCGGCCTTTCAATTCTTTCATTGCAATTCTATGTTGATCTTGTAGATCATCAATTGCCTTTGAATGTTGTTCTTGCAGCTGCAAAATTTTCAAAGAAATCTCTTCTTGTAGCCGCTTTATCACCTCTGACTGATCTGCTCTATCCTTATTCCAGTCTTCTTTCTCATAAACAAGGTCATTGTGAAGTTGCTCGATTGCTTTATATTGTTCTTTAAGCTGCAATACTTCTTTTGACCATTCCTCCTGTTTCGACTCCCAAAATTGTTTTTCTTGAAGATGAGTATTAAGTAGTTGATCTTTTTCCTTGTTATGAAGTTCTTGTACCTGAAGTATTTCAGCTGAATATTTCTGTTGCAGTTTCTCAATCTCTTCTTCATGTAACCCATTTTGTTGTAAAGTCTTCTGTGAAAAAGTTTCTCCCAACTGCTTCAGCTCCTGAGAAAGCTGTTCTTTCTGGTCTTCCCATTCCTGTTTCTCTATGGCATAATCTTTCTTTATCATCTTTGTTTCCTGGTTATGCTGTTCTTGTAGTTGCATTACTTCCGCTAAATGTTTTTCTTTCCATAACGCAATCTGCTCTGAATGGTTTTGACTTTTCTGGAAGGATGCCTCAGAAAGTTCATCTTGTAGCCGTTCCAAATCTTGACAGTAATCATTTTTCTGATTTCCCCACTCTAGTTTTTCCTCTGCATGAAGCTTTTTCATGAGATCTTTTTCCGTATCATGCTGTTCTTGCAGCAGTTTTATTTCCTCAGAAAATTCAAGCCTAATTTGCTCTATCATTTTTGAATGCAACTCCTTTTGAATCAAAGTATCTTGTAATTGTTGTTCTCTTAGTAGCTTTATTTCTTTGGAATGCTCATCTTGCTGTATTTCCCACTCCTTTTCCTGCTGAACATATTGAGCTTGTAAATCTTTCATGTGTAATTCTTGCAGGTCTAAAATTTCCTTTGCATGATGCTCTTTTAGCAAGTCCATGTCTTTGGTAAGCACCTGAAGCTGCGCTATTTTCTCTGCAAGTTCGTCTTGAAGATCCTTCATATCTTGGAAACGAAGATCTTGTTGCATCTTCCACTCTTCTTTCTCATTTCCATGGAGCTCTTTTAAACTCTCCATCTCAAAACTACACTTTTGCTGCTCTACCAAAGCTTTTGTATTTTCAACCCTCAGCTGTTCAATCATTCTTAAATGTTCTTCTTGCTGCTTCATGATCTCCTGCGAAAGCTTATCATTAAGATTCTTCAACTCAACAACTTCATCCTGCAAGTGTTGCAATTCGAACTGGTGACGGTTCTGAAGAAGGGCTATCGCCTGCGCTCGTTTTTCAGTCAGTGTCTCTCGAAGTTGTACCAAGGCATTATCTTTTTCTTTGAGCAGGTTTGACTGATTTAGTTCTAGCTGGGCAGCATGCATGTTGGTCAGGCTAAGTCGTAAAGCTTCCAGGTCCACATTATGCTCATGCTACAAAAAAAAAAAAAAAAAAGGCAAAAAATTAAAATCCAGGTTATTCACAAGTGAATACTAAAAACATGAGAAGAAAATCCATATCATACATAAACATTCACAGTCATATCTCCCAAACTCAACAATACATTCTACCATGAAAATATTTGGCAATTATATTTATAGACATTTGTATACATACAGCCTCAGTACAGGATAAAAATGTAACTAATGTAAAGCCTTAAGCTAAAGCATCTGCTAACAGTGCCAGAATAAACTAATAGGCCTAATAACAACCCATTTAACAAATCCGCATACACATTGAATTGCTTATTTACTCACCTGTTCTTGTAATCTGCTCTGTATATCTTTCTTCATTTGCTCCAATAAATGCACCTCTTCACGCAAGCTCTCCTCCTTCCCGAAAAACTCTTCCTCTTTTGCTTTAATTGCCTCTTGCAGCAACTGTTGCTCCAAGCCCTTGGAGTTCAGTTTGTTATCAAAGTCTTGTTGTTCCGACTCTCTGGCCTTTTCAGAGTCATGCAAATTCTGGGTAAGATTAACATTGCTAACCTGTAGGTTTTTGTTTAAAGCTATGGCCCTTTCCAGATCTTTTTCCATCACAGATATTTTATTTTCCAAGAAAACGTTTTTGCCTAAAAGTTGTGATAACTGCTCATCTTTATACAACTGTTGGCTCGGAGTCTCCTTCAAATGTTGACCCTGGCTTAATATCAGTTTAAACTCATCTCTTTCTTTATTAAGAGCTTCAATAAGTCTTTGTTGTTCCTCTGAGTTTCTATTTGTCCTTTCTCTGTCTAGTTCTAATTGTGTAGCAGCAAGTTCAGCTGTCACTTCTCGCCATTTAGTTATAGCTTCTTCCAGAGACACAGAGCACATTTGTAACTGTTTTTCTTTCTCCTTAAGCTGCTCCATAAGAACGCGGCATTTCTGAAAAGCATTTTCAGCAAAATCAGGGCTTAATTCAGTTTTCTCATCTGAAGATGCCAAATTGCTGGATAAATAGATGGCAAAAGACTCAGGATCCAAAACTGCCCCTATAGAAGCTGCACCTGATAAAACACCAGTGATCGGCATAGGAGAACAGAGAAGATTAAAGTTACCGTCTATGGTGGAGCTAACACTTTGTTCTAGCATAAAGTCACTATCCAGTTCAAATTTGCTACAATCCCCAGTGTCGTCCTGACCATAAGACATTTCAAGCAACTCAGGCTGGCTAGGGAGAAAATACTTATCCATGGATGTCAGGCTTTCATTAAAGGGAACTAGTTCATCATAATCATCCTTGTGAAGCAGAGCCATTTTTGAGTTCTCATGCTCTTTCCTGGCTTTCACTCGGCTTAAATTCTTTTTGATGTCTTCTAGTTCATGTCTGAAATGATCATCTCTCGACTCATTCAGCAACTGCCTTCTTTCTTCATCCACGTCAGAACCTTCTTGTTTGTTACTAGACAGTTTCTGACACAACGTTGCCTTATCCTCCTCCATGTTGTCAAGTTTCAGTACCCATGTTTGCAAGTCTCTCTCGTGCTGTAGTTTTAATGCTTCACTGCTTTCTGTTTCAAGCTTCAAGCTCTCCTTCAGATCACAAATTTGTTTGTTCAGGCGATCTTTGTCATCCTTCTCCTGAGCTGCAGTCTGTTCTGCTTGTTTTAACTTTTCCTTGAGGCCTGACACATCATCGTTGTGCCTCTGTTCCCAAGAGAGTCTTTCAGTTTCATAGTCTTTCATTTGTTTTTCAATCTTCTTGACCAAAGATTCTCGTAGACACTCAGATTCTGCCAGTTTTTCTTTTAAATCCATGACAAGCTGGCAAAGAGATTCAACACCATCTTCTCCGCTGTCAAAGAGTCTTTGTATTTCACCACCCCCTTTGTCATCACCTGAACAGGAAGGTGTGGAATTTGACTGAATAATCATTGAGATCTTATGTTTTAGCTCTATGACCTCCCGATTTCTTCCAGAAAGTTCCTGCTGCAGATGGGAGACAGAACTTTCTGACAGGTCTAGTTTGTCTTGAAGAGTTTCAAGTCTCTTCTGCTGTTCATGCAGCAAATTTTCAAGTGTTGCCATCTGGTTCTCCTTTTCTTTAGTAGTCTGAAATACACAGAATTATTTGAGAGATAGATATGCACTGTACAATGCAAATGAGGCAACAAGTACAACCCCAATTCCCAAAAAGTTGATAAACACATTTTATTCACAATAGAAACCATATCAAAATGTTTAAAATGAGAAAAATGTACCATTAAAAAAAAAAAAAAAAAAAAAAGGTCCTTTTGAAATTGATGGCAGCAACACATATCAAAACAGTTTCAACAGAGCCATGTTTAGCAGGGTGTAGCATCCCCTCTTCTTTTAACACTGTGTAAACGTCTAGGAATTGAGACGACCATTTGCTGGAGTTTTGGGAGAGGAATACTGTCCCATTATTTCCCGATATAGGATTCTAACTGCTCAACAGTCCTGGGTCTTTGTCACATTTTTTGCTTCAAGACCTGCCAAATATTTTCAAACTGGTGAAAGGTTTAACCTGCAGGGAGGCCAGTTAAGCACCTGGACACTTTTACTACAAAGCCATGCCATTGTCACAGATGCAGTATGCGTTTAGCATTGTCCTGCTAAAATAAGCAAGGCCTTACCTGAAAAAGACATCTGGATGGGAGCATATGCTGCTCTAAAAACGGGATACATCTTTCAGCATTGATGGTGCCTTTCCAGATGTGCAAGCTGCCCATTCCATACGCACTAATGTACCCCCATACCAACAGAGATGCAGGCTTTTGAACTGAGCGCTGATAGGCCAGGAGGTCGCTCTCCTCTTTAGTCCAGAGGACGCAACACCAATGGTTGTCAAAAAGAATGGTCAAATCTCGATTCGTCTGGCCACAGAATCATTTTCCACTTTGCAACAGACCATTTTAAATGATCTTTGGCCCAGAGAAGATGGTGGTGTTTCTGGATCATGTTCAGATATGGCTTTTACTTTGCATAAGAGAGCTTTAACTTGCATTTTTGGATGGCACAGCGAACTGTGTTCACAGACAGTGATTTTTTTTTTTTTAAGTATTCCTGAGCCCATGCACTGATGTCCAACACAGAATCATGCCTGTTTTTAATGCAGTGCCATCTGAGGACCCCTAAGATCAAGGGCGTCCAATATTGCATTTCGGCCTTGTCCCCTTGCACAGAGATTTCTCCAGATTCTCTGAATCTTTTGATATTATACTGTAGCTGATTATATATTTACAGTCTTTGCAATTTGAAGTTGAGGAACATTATTCTTCTGAAATTGTTCAACAGTATTTAGATGCAGCTTTTCACAGATTGGTGAACCTCTGCTCATCTTTATTTCCGAGACTCTCTCACTCTCTAAGATGATCTTTTTATACCCAATCGTGTTACTGATATGTTGCCAATTAACCTAATTGTAAAATGTTCTTCCAGCTCTTCCTGGTTAGTACCACTTTGCCAGGTTTTTTGTTGCCCTAGCCCAACTTTTTTTGAAACGTGTTGCTGCCATCAATAATTACCTTATTTTTTCTTACAATGGTACATGTTCTCAGTTTAAACATTGGATATGTTTTCTATTTTGAATAAAAATTGGATTTTTGTACTCACCGTAAAATCCTCTTCTCTCCGTTCATTGAAGGACACAGGCAACAGATCGTAGATCCTGAATGGTAGGGTAATATCGCCACCTGCAGGAGAAGGACGCTAGGCACAAAACTAAAGACCAATTACAGCCTAGGGGCGGCCCCTGCCGGTGGCCAAACCCCCCACCTGCTGACAAGTCTCCAGTTTAGTAACAAGCAGTTAGGAGTGTACACCCCATAAAGAGGGCGGGGCCTCTGTCCTTCAATGAACGGAGAGAAAAGGATTTTACGGTGAGTACAAAAATCCTATTTTCTCTCCCGTTCATTGAAGGACACAGGCAACTCGTTCTCCTCCGCAAGACCCTGATGTAACATTTTAGCCCACTCAGTTAGAGTCGAGAGACCAAAGCCGAAGCCAAGACCGGACGCATGAGCGCGCCAGAGAGAGTACAGGGACCGCAAAAGCGCCTCAGCATTCTTTAGTTTTGTGCCTAGCGTCCTTCTCCTGCAGGTGGCGATATTACCCTACCATTCAGGATCTACGATCTGTTGCCTGTGTCCTTCAATGAACGGGAGAGAAATATGGGTTTATGAGATTTGTAAATCATTGTTTCTATGTAGATTTTACAAGGGCGTCCCAACTTTTTGGGAATGTAAACATGTGCGAACATTCAGCTACATTGAACCTGTACTGTGGAGGCTGTGCTCAAAATAGGCAAGCAGATGCCAAAGACCAGCCACCAGTATTGCCTGCGGGCTCCCTGTAGTTGATCATTTCTCCATTACCTAGTAGACATGCCTGTCCTGCGACTCCGTATGGAGGCAGCCATTTGGTAGAAGAGTGGAGCCTTGGCTTACTCATGTCAGAGCTACCCTCAGGAGAAATACAGAAAGAACTTGGGATGCACTGATAGAGTATTTGGGCGAGTGCTCGTACTCACCCAATGCCCCGATACCAGAATTTACGGTCAGAGGAATATTCTCTCTAACCGGCAGGGCTGCGAGGCAACATGGAGTCGGCTTCCCAGCCAATCAGGATAGGAAGCCAGCTTTACTTGTTGCTAGCCAGTTATCCTTCTATTAGGCAACAATTCATTTTTTAGTTGGGGACCACTTAAAAAAGGCTAAGCAGCTGACAACATAGCTGAAAGAATCAAATCTCTTACTCAAGTCCCAGTTGGTTGGAGTGTTGTCCAGTCAAGTACTCAGCACAAAAATGGGTACATTATTTCTGGAGCTCAGTTTCCATCAGCATGTGCATTACACATTGCTACCCTCTTGGGGTATTAGCTTTCATACTTTAAAAACAAAAGTGCAAGAGTAAGCAGTTCATCATGTTTATATTTAGGAAACTCACATTCTGCAGCTGAATCTGGATTGCCTGTATCTGACTGGACAGATACGAGGCCTCATCTTCAATTACCTTGTGATTTAATAAAGCCTGCTCCAAGTTACTACACGTTAGTACCAGAAAATAATAAAAATCATCTGGTCCTTAGCAGGTCTAAAAATTAGGAAAATACAACCCTCAGATGAACATGACACGACATTACACCGTGCCTGTATTTATTTTACAAACAAAACCAAAATAGAGAAGCCATTAGTGAAAACCTAACTACACCTTATGATTCCATAGCTTGTATAGTAGAACCACCTTTAGCAGTGATAACTTGGGACTATCACTCTTTACAATGTTGCTTGAGTTCATTGAGGTTAGCGAGCATTTGTTTATGCACATTTCTCTTATGGTCCCAACACAGCATTTCAATTGGGTTGAGGTCTGGAGTTTGACTGGGCCATTGCAATACCTTGATTTTCTTTTTCAGCCATTCTGTTGTAGATTTCCTGGTGTGCTTGGGTGCCTGGTCACATGGCCCAATTTCAGCCAAGCTTTAGCTGTCGGAAAGTTGGCCTCACGTTTGATACTAGAATATGTTTGGTATATAGGAGGAGTAGATGGTCAACTCATTGACTGCAAGTTGCCCAGGTCCTGTGACTGCAAAAAAGCCCAAATCATTACCCCTCCAACACTGTGCTTGACAGTTGGTATGAGGGGTTTGTGCCGATATGCTCCGTTAGGTCTTCGCCAAACGTGGCACTATACAATATGGCCAAACATCTCCACTTTAGTCTCATCTGACCAAAGCACATTGTTCCAGAAGTCTTGTGGTTTGGTCAGATGAAACTTTGCATGTTCTTTTTGGAGAGCAGAGGCTTTATCCTTACAAACCTTCCAAATAAACTATATTTGTCCAGTCTTTTTCTAATTTTACGGTTATGAACTTTAACATGCTAAGTGAGGACTGTAGAGTGAGATGTAACACTGGGGTTTTTTTGCAATTTTTCTGGGCATTGCAGTCTGACCTTGGGGTGAATTTGAAGGGACATCCACTCCTGGAAAGAGTAACTTGTCTTCAATATTTTCCACTTGTGGATAATCCTCCTCACTGTAGAATGAGGTTTGGAAATGGCCTGATAACCCTTCCCAGATTGATGGGCATGAACAATTGCTTCTCCAAGATCATTGTTGATGTCTTTCCACCTTGACATTGTGTTAACACACCTGAATGCTCCAGACCAGCAAACTGTTCAAACTACACCTTTTATAGGTGACCACACTTGCTGATAATAAAATCCCCTTGATTAATTGTTCATCAGCACCTGGCTGCTACTTAGCCTCTTTATTCCTATGGAAGCAGTAAGGGTGTGTACACACACACACAGTTTAATATATTGTATGTTGTTAGTCAACTGAGGTTGAATTAACCCAATTTTAAGACCTGCTAAGGACCAGATGATTTTTATTTTGTCCTAATACCTAAAACCATAGAATTCAATGAGGGTGTAATTATTCACACAACTGTACAATATGCAACCTATATTTATGGTAACAGGGGGAAAAAAATAAAATAAAAACCTGATGCATCTCTGAAGACCCTACTGTCTGAAACTGAGAAATACCCTCAACTTGAATTTCAGCACCATCCTGTTTGCCCTGTAGTCTGTATTCCAAATCAGACATTGTGTTTAAGTGCTCTGATACATTCAGTGAACTGTGATCCAAAGGTATCTACCAAAAAAGAAAAAAAAGGCATGATGAGCTTTTATTACAACACAAAAAAACACATAATTACTAGCAACTATATTACTAACTACTTTTCATGATGACACTCCAGAGTAATGTGCCCAGCTGGCATGGAGCAAGAAACAATGGTAAATTCTTGACCTCAGAGCCCAATCAAGAACTCCCAAGGTATGAGAAAAAAAAAAGATAAATTCCTTAAGAAACTAAAGAAGGAACTTTGCAGACAAAATCTGGTCCGCAACACTTTGCCTTTCAAAAGGTGTGGAATCTTGCCCATGCAGCTGCACATAGATTTTTATTGAGTTGAAGGGGTGCCTTGTAAAGGGCTGAATAGCTATGCCCAGGGCTTGAAAAATCTGTGACGAGAGGACAGTGGAGACAGACGAGCAGCTTCCCGACCGGCCGGGAGCTTTACATTCAAGCGATCGGGCGTCTCTAGAGACGCTCGATCGCTTGTATTAGCAGCTGTCACTGCCGGTCCCGAGATCCGCTGTGCCCGATGCGGCCGGGACCGGCACGGCTCTGTGACAGGAGATCAAAGGGAGTTCAGTATACGAACTCCCTTTGTTCTCCTCTCAGTCCCCGAATGCAAGAAGTGATGTAGATTAAATCACACCCTGCATTCAGTGTCACTCTCCAACTACAGAAGCTGATGAAGCAGATTTCTGCTTCATCAGCTTCTCTGGGGGTCCCTAGGTGACATTAGGGGTCTTGGAGACCCCTGATGTCTCCATAAAGAGGACTTGTCATGTAAATTGGCTATTACATAGGGGGCTTCTTAGCCCCCCATGTAATAGCAATAAAGCTGTGTGGAAAAAAAAAGTAATACTAAAATTAAAGAATAAAAAAAAACGTTTTTTTATAATTTTTTTTTTATGCCTCTTTAATTTTTTTTTTATAAGTCCCCGCCCCCGACATACACACGCAGATATGCGTCGGGTGCGCCTTTGTGCGGAAACGACGATTTTGCCTATTGTGCTGCACATGTTAAATATCGCCGCAAACGTCGGACTGAGAGCAATAATTTTAGAGCCATTAATCACTGATAACACTAAACTAATGAGCAGTAAAAGCGTTTTAATCATTGCCTATGGGCGTTTTTGCCGGCGCGCGCAATTTTAAGGATTGACAAGTTTGGTGTCTATTTACCCGACGTGACCCCGAATTTTATGTTTTACTAAAAATATGGGTAAGAATAAATGTTTTATAACATAACGTAGGGAAACTTAGTTTTTTTTAAATTTATGGTACTTTTTTCATTATATAGTAAAAAAATAAAAATAATAACACCCCACCTGTGGTGATTATATACCTCCAAAAGAAAGCTCTATCTGTCCCTAAATTTTTTTTACATAAATTGCAGGGCTATAGTTCGGTCATGCTGACTGGTGAAATTGTTGACTGACTGGTGAGACACCATCAAATTTTTCAAGCTAAGATTTGAAAGAATGTATAATCTAACACAATGTCTCAATCATTTATATTTAAAGATTAGGATATGAATGAGCAATGTCAAAAAGGTGCCCTACAATGATAAATTAAAAAACAAAAATACAGACCATTTAAAGATTAATAAAAATAGTTTGGACAGAAAAGGCTACCATCTTAGTGGCGGTGAAAGCAAGAAGAAATACAATATTATTGGAAATCTCATTAGGTATCCAGCAATTTTAATGAAGGGAAATATAGGTAAAATTCCAAGTGGAAACCAAAGACAAATCTCGTGGTCTATGTGGGGACCTAGGAAACTACTCCAGAGGAAAGTTACATCCCCCTGTGCAAATCTCATGATTTAATTTTTAGAGTTTTGGCAAGTAAAAAGATATGTTGTGCAAAACTGGAATAATAAGAATTACATTCCATTCAAGCTAATTTTTTAAATCTAATGGGAGTACGCCCAGAGGCTACATGCATAAAACAGATGGGACCTGCAATCCTAGTTAACCTACCCCATCTGGGATACTGTGATCACCCAGAATCTTTTGAACATTTTATACCACAGGCACAAAAACAAACATCCCCCCCCCCCAAAAAAA